ATTTGGAACTTAAAGCCCAGCAGATCAAATATTATGGTTTTGAAATGTGGAGTATGTTAAATTAGTTTACCGCTACAGCTTATTAATGGCTTTATCTGCCATTATTTTCAGGGTTAAAAAGGAAATGCGCCAGATCGGCTTGATTTCTGGGCGAGTCCTGCTGCTGAGGTCGACCCTCCCTAAGAGCGAGAGGAAAAACCCTGAGAGGAACCAACCCCTCCCCATCCTCAGTCGACAGTCGGCGCCAGAGGAAGGCAGAAATGTTCAGATTATCCATAGCCTATGTAGGCTATGTAGAAAGAATGACCATGAACATTAAATATATGAATGTATTGTGAGGATATGGATGTACAGCTGTATGCAAACGTTTGAACACCCATGGTCAAATTTCATTTTAGTTGATTTCCTAAGTGAAAAAGCTAACACATCCTCTATAGGGGACACACCTAAATACGGCATTAGTCTGCAAATTTTAATGCACATTGTATATTTGTTTTTGCTGAAAAAAAAAGGTAAATTGCACACACACACTAAGCCACTTATCTTTCTGGGTCGCAGGGGGAGCTGGAGCCTATCCCAGCGGTCACTGGGCAGAAGGCAGGAAACACACTGGACAGGTAACCAGTCAATCACAGGGCAGACACACACACACACACACACACACACACACACACACACATACACACACACATATATATACAATCACACACACTCACACCTAGGAGCAAATTTAGCGTGTCCAATTGGCCTGACCATATGTCTTTGGACTGGACTGGTTTTGAACACCAAACTCCACATAGAAAGGACCCTGGTCGCCTGGCCGGGAGTCAAACCCAGGCTCACACAGGCATTTTCTGTGAAGAACATATAAAATAACCCATTTTCAGTGTCTTCACTCTGTTCACCCCCCACACATTTATATTACACACATGTGGTGTTGGGTGAACCCACGGGGAGTAAAAGTGTGGAGGTGCTGTGTCCTTCACTCTGTTCTCCTCCTACATGGCCTGCTGTTAGTGTGTGTGTGTGTCTGTGTGTCTGTGTATGTGTGTGTGTGTGTGTGTGTGTGTGTGTGTGTGAGGGAGGACAACGTGGACAGGCTGCTGACTGGCTACAGCTGCTAAAGGAGAACCCTACACTGACCACATGTAAATTTTAAACATCTGGTATTTTTACATAATTTTTTCTGGCTGTATTGATTTAAAAAACAATAATGTGGTGGGTCCAGCAGACCACTGAGTAACAAACACATCAACACCACACAAGGGTTAAAATGTGCAGAAGTAGAGGACGTGCAGCTTATTTTCAAAATCAACAACAACGTGGAATTTAAGCAGTGGTGCCCAAGCTTTTGCACGCCTCTGTAAGTTTGGGCAGCCGCAGAGGTCAGCATAGTGAGAAAAAGATATAAAACGTCTATGAATAAGTGCTTTTACGCAGAGATGGTGTTTAGACTTGTGTGTGTGGTTTCTGACACTGTAAGACGTGCGGTTATCTATAAACACGGACTAAAGTAGGTCACAGGCTAAAAACAGTAACGGCCGTCTTAAAGCCTGAGTTTTCTTCGTGCTCTTGTCCGTTGTGGCTGGCTGTGAGAGATGATCTGTGTTATGGATGTGGACCAATCCTACACTGAATCAGAAACTGCGAGCATAGTTTGCCTAATTTGCATCTAATTTGCATAAAGCTACATCTGCTTTGTCCAAGTCTGTGTTCTCCCTCCTATCTCAAGCTCCTTTCTTTCCCTCTCTGTCCCCTCTATTTGACTATTTTCACTTTATTCTGCTACTTTTTGGTCCTAGTTTAGCCTTTCTGTGCACTGTTTTGCTGTACATGTAGATACAATAACATGTTGGAATGATCTTTAGTGTTATCAGTCTTTCATCTTTCACAAAATTTGTGAAAGTGATATTTTCTTTTCAGTTGTATATATGGCTATTTGCAAAAATTGAGATCTTGAATCTAATCTATATATCTACTATTTCTCATTTTGTGATTGTAGTAGTAATATTACAAGATTATTTAACTTAATTATAGACAGTTGTATTGTTTTAAGTAATTTTATCTTATGGTTTAAGTGTCTTATTCCATTGGCGGATAAATTTTACTTGTTTCAAGCAGTATTTCTTGAAACAATCAAAACCATTTCTCCAAATATGTAAGACTATCTGCCAGTGGAATAAGACACTTTCACTAGATACAGTGATTTAAAACAAGTAAAATGTGTAGAAATATGTTAAATAGTCTTATACTGTACTTACAACAATCTCATATTGAGAAATATCAGATATATTAACTAGATTTAAGATGTTTTAGCTTTTGTAGATCTTTGTAGTTGTAGACTGGCATCTTTTTGGTCCTCATTAAGTCTTTTTACCTTGGTTAAGTTTTTATCCATGCAATGTAAAAAAGTGCAAAGTGATTAAACATGAATTCAAATTCAGCTTTAGTTCACTTATTGCAAGAAAGTGAAACTTCAGATCCATGTATCTATCATGTACTGGAAGCTTAAACTCCACCAGCTCGCATTGTGCTAACTGCAGGCCTAAATCATCACACACTGGTCTCAATGTTGAATTGTTAAGTATAATCTCAAATAGGGGTTCTGAGCCTGTAGGATGTACTGTTTTCAATAAATTGAACGAGCTATGTTGTGTAAAAGCAGTAACAGAAATGATAAAGCCTAATACACAATTCAGATCCAGAATGAACCTAGCTGTGCTAGCGCTATGACTCATTAGCTAACAATAATTCAATAGTTAGAGAAAACAGAGAATAAATAGCGCAACAGGCTAATAATTCTGCTATTCAATGGAATATCCAATGTTTCTGGTCTCATGGCAGTTTATAAAGAGATAATTCGGTCTATATAGGCACTTAAAGTTTGCTAGTAACTTGGATTGCTACTGCTAGCTTACTTATTTGGCTATTAATGTTTTGGCTAATGGCTTAGCAAGCAAGCCATTGACTTACAGGTTGCAGTGTTGGGTCGCAAATGGTCAGCACTGCTCCTTCTCTCAAACATAGCTCTGTAATAGCCCCAATCATTTTGTTACCACTACCAAAACATCCTAGCAGTTTGGGTTTAGCAAACTCATTTGAGGCCGAGACAGGCAAATAGAATCACATGCACACGCATCTACATTTCCTTGTGTGACTGCAAGGACAAGGTGCTTTGCATGCATCCTGCTGAAAAACCCATATAAACCATTTAGTGTTTTTGTTTGTTCCTAATTGTTTTGTAATGTGTTTTGGCTTTTTTTATGGGTTGGAATCAGAATGCAAAGGATCCTAATGGTTTAACAGGTGACCAGTGGCTGATTGTAAATGCGCTTGATGGTTTCCAACTGGGATCTGAAGGTATCCTACAGGAAAACTAGTGGGTTCCTTTGGAACCATTAAGCCAATTCCCATGAGGAAACAAAAATGGTCCTTTTTCAGCAGGGCGGTTTACCTTTGAACAGTATTTTTGTAAATGTTCAGACATTTTGTTCTGCTTTTTTTTCTATTTTAAAAAACCAATGTCTAAACTAAAAAGTAATTTAGTTGCTGCTCTGGTAATTTCTTACCATCTCTTAAATGGACAGTCGCGTTTATTGCAGGCGTCTGCAATTGTACACTAAACGCAAGCATGCCAATAAAGGTCCATGCTTGCGTTAGCTTGGAGAGTATATAAGTCTCTTAAAGATGTAGCAAGTCGTTTGATTGTGACGTCCTGGCACGTAATGTGATGGAAACGTTCGAGACGTTTTTTAGCTAACGTAGCGTTGGATTGGTGACGTAAATTCCGTGAGTGCATTTACATGCACTTAATAATCCGATCATTATCGAATTTCGGTAGTTATGTGATTATTCAAGTGGTCATGTGAACAGCATACATAGTAATCTGGTTTTTCAGTGTATGTAAACCCTTACTCTGATTTCTTTCGTTTTTCTCAGTTTGTGCACGTGCGAAAACAGAGCACTGTCCCAGAAACAGTGAGCAACATTTAACACAGCACCCACGGGACGGCAACAAAACGCTTTTGGAACGACATTGAAAGCTTGACGAAATGAAGAATTTGAATATTCGTCAACTTCTAGATGACGTATAGTCAGACCTAAAGTGACTTGATGTATTAAAAAAAGCTACAACGTTTTGACGTTTGAGTTTTACGTTACTTTTATGTCATGTTTTATTCTGCGAGTTGATTGGCCGGGTGTAAAGAAGAAATCCGATTACAGTCTGACTTGTTTAGGTCCGAAGTTTTCCGATTATCATGTAAACGCGCTGAACGAATTACAGTTACCAGATTATTAAGTGGATGTAAACGCACTCAGTGTCTATTTGTTTTTTGGGATTACAGTCCATCGCGGCAGCCAACTCCTATAAACATTTGGACCGAGCCGCGATATTTCGAACAGGCTCAATAGTAACAGAACCGTTCGAAGTTCGAAAAACTCTTCGCACGGAAAAAGCCATCACAATTTCCTAAAGCAGAAAAAAACCCTAGCCTCCAGTGTAGCCCTGACTGCATATATGGCCAGTTCACATTGATGGTAAGTGCAGTGCTCTAGCTAGTGGCTATTATATCTCCTCACCTCCCTGGAACAGCAGAATAGTAATGACTGCTCGTCCCTGATTGGCCAGCGGCTGGTGGGGTGATATGACGGCAGACTTCAGGCACCTCCCCCCATTGTGCAGTTGCTGAGCAACCTCCATTCCACCGCCCCGCCCTCTAGCGGCCGCGCTTGTGCACTGCAGCTGAAGTCCCGCCCACTTTCAGGCTGCAGCATGCAGACAGATCAGTGCCCAAATGATCGGATCGGCTATTGACTTTACACCAAGATCAATAGCATGTGATCAGTGCGGGAGATCACGTGGGCGCAGCCTGGGAGGAAACGTGAGAGCCGTGTCGAGAGTTTCCAGACTTTTAGTATACTGGCGTCCCATTGGTCAGCAAGGGCGACATGCTAATTAGGAGGGAGTCGCGTCACTTCCCTGTCACTCAATGCGCCATTTTCTCTTTTATGTGCACGAAAACGTTAAGCGAAACGTTCCCGTCACAAAATTAAGAGGGGAAAGAACGGTTTTTCACACCTCGCTGCTTTGCAGATGTTGTGCCAGGGGTGGTAGGAGCGCTGCTGGGCTGTCCAGGCTTTCTGTAGTCGACGCTTGCGCAAGGATTCGTGCTATTTTTCTCGCTGAAAAACTCCCTCCCAAAAACGGGGGCGCTGAAGAAGAAGGTAACATCAACATTAGCGCAGAGATTTGATTAGCGAGAGCCGGACGAGGCTGAAGTTGGCTGCTTAGTCGAATTGTCCGTTCCACCTTAAGTGGTGCGGCTGCTAACTTGCATTCATTCTGGCGCCTGGGCATTACTGATTGCTTGATCGTGGTTTGGAGCATTAATAACCTATTTTCCCCCTATTTTTAGTTAACGACATTTGGCTCGTATTCGGATCGCTGTGCAGTTTTGTAGTCGTGTTGTGGCCGGTTCGGTTCTTTTAGACAGCCTTTTTTTTTTTTTTACCACACTTCTGATCCAGTATGAACGATGGCTTGAGCTCAGAGGCTCGACTTGCCTTTTTTTTAATTCGAATTCTCCCGTTCCACCTTAAATGTTACAGCAGCCCGAGGCGGCAGAGTGTAACTGCTGCACCATTTAAGGTGGACCGGCAGAATTCGAAACAGAAGCCGGGCGGGCAGGCGTGAACGTTAATGTTAGCCAGCCAGGGTCATCCGGGAAACACATCGGCAGCTTCGTTAGCTTGTTTCGGACACTGGTGTGGAAATATTTTGTATGCATTGGTATTATTAACGTTATAGCCTAGTATCGTAGCTAGGTTATGTGAATTAGCGCCGGGCGTTAGCTTGAATGACAGCAGACTAACCGAGGAGTCTCGGTTTAGCTTTAATCAGGAGAAAATCAAACTTGCAGCGATGTTTGCAGAGAGATTTTGCTGCTGTGATTCTAAAAAACTGCACTTTAAGAGGCAAAGATGACTTTATTTACGTGACAAAACAGTCTTTTTCCACATTTTAGCAACCCCGGCTAGCCTGGTTGCTCAGCTTAAGTGCATTTCCATCGATTTTGCTCTCCCCTCTTGGCTGTTTATTCCTTCTGTTGTTTCGCTTTTGAACGTCATGGATGCATATAAGTTGGCTAAACTGCCCAGTTTAGCACTTTAAACAAGATGGGTTCTTACATAAAGGGAATGGTCTGTTTAGAACCACCATGAGTTCTGTATAGAACCCTGTGCACGCTTATATGGTTCTTTGCATGCGTTGCATATGGTTCTGTATAGCACCAAAAAGGGTTCTGCTGTTGTTATGATGTCAGCCTTGTAACATTAGCAGAATCTTTTTGGTGCTTTTTCAAAAAAAGGTTCTGTATAGAACCATATACAGCACATTTTCCATCAATGTGAAGGACCACTGAAGCACACAGCGCAAAGAGCCATTAAGCTATTTAATGTGTTGTGCATGGTTCTATGTAAAACCCTTTTGAAAACGTTTTTGATGCTATATAGAACCATAGACAACACATTCTCCATCAATCTGAAGCACCACTTTACCATGCAAATGACCATTTAGGCATGCAAATGTATGCATGGTTCTAGATAGAGTCATTCCCTTAATCTTTTAAGAGTGTAGCTGAGGTATCTTAGATAGCTAGATAACTTAATCAAATGTTATTAGTTATTCGTATTTTTTCCCTCAGCCGGTCTTTCTGTAGATGCATCAGTGAAGCTGTCTGGCTGTTTCAAGTTATTTTCATATATATATTTATTTATAATGATAAAATACTTCACAAAATCTCCATGTGCAGATTTATTTTTGGAGTGTTTTGCTGGGATAAACTCTTGTCTGGGTTGCATCTGTGCCCAATGCAGCATCCATCACTTTGACTGTCACCCTATGAGATAAAGGGTCAGTTTCCCAGACATGGATTAAGCCTAGTCTTGGACTAAATTGCAGTGCCAATGAGTCTGGGAAAACTGGGTCATAGTGTTCAGATTTAATAGGGCCAGTTTCCCACACTGGACTTAAAATTATAATTATAATATTTGTAGTAACTCACTGCAGTTTAGTCAAATGCTCATTATAATTTTTCATCTTTATTTTTTAAGTCTAGGCCTCTGAGCTCAAGAAAGGTGCTATAATAGTTCGAACCAGTCTCTGACATTACATTTCTCAGTAAAATAATTTGGAATTAGCTCCATTCATCTGTATAGTTGAGTGCAAGTTTATCTTTTAGCTCTCAGAGACCCTCTGTTGAACATTTTCAACAGTTAAAAGGGCAATTCCACCATTGTTTCAAAATTTCTGCATAATTCAGTTGCGATGCCACCAATCATCCAGAGTGGTTTGCTGTGAAGGGGCTGGTTGTAGAGACTCAGATTTCTTTACGGTGGTGGTGATAGGAACCAGGGGTTGCCATGACTACAACACAAATATAGACATTTCGTTTATTACCCAAAACCAAAGGTGAACCCACACGCGTCTTCTGAGTTTTGTTATGTAATGTTGGTGACGGTATAATAGTGGTAAATTTGCCGTGAATGAGTTTTAAAAAATAAGTTAGCAAAAAAGACATCAGGAGACATTTGTAACCATTTTGTCCAATAACTTGCTGTGAGGGAGCTTTTATGCTTCAATTTGTGGTTCCTATCACCACCAACACCATGAGCTTTTCTGACTCAGTAACTTTCTCTAGATCAGAGAAACCACTCTGACTGAATGAGTGTGTAAGCCTTAATTATATTGTGGCAAAATATTGGGGAACAAGGGGAATTCCCTTTTTGAAGCGCTTTATTTATACCTTCTTCTGACTAACTGTGACTAAAAACTACATATCCCAGCAGTCCACACTCTGAACCCTGATATTATTTCATTTATTCCTAACATATTTGCTTCTAATATATTACATGTGAATAAAGGATGCACACATGCAAATTTGAGGCAATTTTTGAAAATGTTGCAAAATTGCAACCATGGGCCTCAGTGGTCACCACTTTTTAGTATCGTCCAACTGTCTTATTTACTCCATTGTAGACAGATTAACTTCATTGTAGACGGTGGTCCCGACTCCAGTCCTGGGGACCACCTGCCCAGATCAGTTTCTACTATTCTCTGCTCCAACACACCTGATCCAGTTCATTAGGGACACAGGTGTGAAACTGTGCATGATTTTGCTTCCCTGTTATATTTATACCGTATAAATTCACATTAGTTTTAAATATATTACGTTTACTAGTGATGCACAGAAATGAAAGTTTTTGTCTGAAACTGGAATTATGGACACTTTGGGCCAAAAAAACAGATAAAAAGCTGCTGATGAATAAAAACAGTAAACATAACTATTCTAAAATCCTCGACAACAAAGAATAATTGGTCATCCAAGACAGTGGCTTCTATCTGCATATATAATTTTAATATGTTTAATAACAAATAAACATAGTTTTATTTATTCTTTGCCGTTTGTTTGTCATTTGTTATTCCATAAACTGGGTAAACAGACTACATGCTCGCAGAGACTTTGCTTTCTAATGCTGTATTTTGCGTATCGAGTGGGATTCTGGGATGTTTTTGAAAGTGGCCTTAAACCTGTAATGGGTGAAGTTTTTGGTAATCTCTCTTTGATCCACATGAACAATTTTTTTTTTTATGTTCCTTGTAGAAACCATGAAATCGTGCAGGCCAGCTGACGTTTTCACAGCTGATTTGACACAGTAGAACGAAGGGAACAAACAGCGATTTTAGTCACTTTTTCTCATTTTCATCATCATTAAAATGATTTATAAACTGTTTTTACAAATACAGTGGCTGAAATTTTGCTGCATCCCTTAAATTTGTAGTTTTGTGTTATAGACTCACTAAAAAAGGTGTCTAAACTTTCTTTTTTAAATCGCAGTGAGAATGCTCTAACATTTAAAACCTACGGTTGCAATTTTTCAACATTTCTCCAAAATTCACCCCAAAACTATGTATAAATGTGCAACAGTTTGGAAGGAATGCAATGAAAATGTATCAGCAGAGTCCATATGCGGGTTTCTGGGGGTTAAAATTATGTTTATTTAAATTTTTAATAGTCTCAGCCTTCTTTAGCTTAGCGGAGTACATAGAGATTTGGGGAAGACGTCCCAGTGGGGCTCTTTTCTCTAACATACCACCTGCTGTTTTGTTTGTTAACATGTTGCTTTGTTAGATAATTCCAGTTTGCAGCTGGGTGTTGTGGTGGCTGTCTGAGGTTGTGCTCAATGAAATGGTCCATGGCCAGTCTTTTAACCTTTTTTAACCTCAGGGCATCTTTAGATCTGATCTTATTGGTAGTTATAATGTTGTAAACCTCTATATCGTGGTGTTGTCAGTGAATGAGTTCTCATAACTTTAAAATGTGGTATTCTTGAGTTCTTCCTCACCCCTGTTTTATGATAATTTTGGAAATGTACTGTTTACTAAATGTAATGTACCATTTACTACAGTTGTAAACACATCTGGTGCTTATTGTAATGTACTTATCATTAACTCGTCTCTTCTCAGGTGAAGAACCATGTATCAGTATCCTGTTCGAGGAATTGAGAAAATTCGAAGAACAAGAAGGAAAGTGAAGAACATTTTGACTGAATTTGGGCTTGAGCAATGTCTAACACTGAGTGAGGTAAGTTCAGTGTTTTTACTATAAAATATATACACCGATCAGACATAACATTCTGACCACCTCCTTGTTTCTGCGCTCATTGTCCATTTTATCAGCTCCACTTACTATATAGGTGCACTTTGTAGTTCTACAGTTACAGACTGTAGTCCATCGGTTTCTCTGATACTTTGTTAGCCCCCTTTTACCCTGTTCTTCAGTGGTCAGGACCCCCATGGACCCTCACAGAGCAGGTACTATTTGGGTGGAAGGATCATTCTCAGCACTGCAGTAACACTGAGGTGGTGTGTTAGTGTGTTGCGCTGGTCTGAGTGGATCAGACACAGCAGTGCTGCTGGAGTTTGTAAACACCTCAGTGTCACTGCTGGACTGAGAATTGTCCACCAACCAAAAATATCCAGCCAACAGCATCCTGTGGGCAGCGTCCTGTGACCACTGATGAAGGACTAGAGGATGACCAACACAAACTGTGCAGCAGCAGATGAGCTATCGTCTCTGACTTTACATCTACAAGGTGGACTGACAAGGTAGGAGTGTCTAATAGAGTGGACAGTGAGTGGACACAGTGTTTAAAAACTCCAGCAGCACTGCTGTGTCTGATCCACTCAGACCAGCACAACACACTCTAACACACCACCACCACGTCAGTGTTACTGCAGTGCTGAGAATGATCCACCACCCAAACAGTACCTGCTCTGTGAGGGTCCATGGGGGTCCTGACCACTGAAGAACAGGGTAAAAGGGGGCTAACAAAGTATGCAGAGAAACAGATGGACTACAGTCTGTAACTGTAGAACTACAAAGTGCACCTATATAGTAAGTGGAGCTGATAAAATGGACAATGAGCGTAGAAACGAGGAGGTGGTCAGAATGTTATGCCTGATCTGTGTATACTTTGCTTTAGAGACTTTTCGTTTTAAATGCCATTTTTATGTGGATATAATTGCCTGTTTAAGACCCTATTTGCACTTCATGTATCTGCCACTTTGTGTCTTGTATCTGGAGAATGTCTGGGTAATATTGAATTAGATACGTTACATTTACGCTCAGCCACATGAATGTGTTTCTGTTAAGGCAGATTTTTCCAAGTCTTTCCATGGTGCTTTTTTCCTCATTGACTATGGTGCAATGGGCACTGTGATGGAAAGCTCTGCTCTATTCTGTGCATCGCGGTTCACGTTCTTAAACTACACGTTTAAGTTGAAAAGCTGGCACTGAGTGCCATGAAAAAGTGTCAGACGTCATCACAGCTGACCAAACCCTACCCGAATAGTCACTCAGAGGAAAGTTATGAAGAAAAGTTGTGAAACCACTCTACAGCACTTCACATAAAAAATGACCACAGCTTTAGTGTGAAAGAGTTTTTTATTTATTATCACAGCTTGGAAATGTTTATCACTCTTCGCTGTGTCATTTTTACCTACTTGTCAATCAAATGCATTAACCCGGCCCCTAAGAAACTTTCCCTGCTTCTTTTTAACCACAAGACCTGACCGTCTAAATGCCCCTTACACTGTAATTTGCAAATCATGAAAGAATTCTTTAATCGTGAGTGAACAGATTTTCTCCCCAATTTAGTCGTCTCCAATTCCACCCGCTAGTTAGGACTCCCCCAATCACACGATGCTATCAACGCTAGGAGGGTGAAGGCTAACACAGGCTTCCTCCAAGACCTGTGAAGCCAACCACCGCTTCTTTTCGAACTGCCGCTCACACAACGTCACTGGACAGCCGAACGCGCTCAGAGGAAAGCGCCAACCGCCAGATCTGTTATGTCAGCTAACAGACGCCTGCGCTGACTAGCATTGCGCTGAGTGATGGGGGGAGAAGGAGGGGCCATCCTACCCACCCAGAGAGAGCGAGGCCAGTTGTGCTCTCTTGGACTCCCGGCTACGGACGGCTGTAGCATCACCAGGGATCGAACTCGCGATCTCCTGATGATAGGGCCAACGCTTAGACGGTTGCGCCACTCGGGAGCCCCCGTGAGTGAACTTTTAATGTGATGTGTTGCGTGGTGGCCGAATTAGTGCCGTTGCGACCAAAGACAGCCCCTGACAAAGTTCTGGCAGTGTTAAATAAAAACAACCAATAGGGATGTGTGACAGACCGAGAGAGAAGGTGAAGATGATAACTAAAATAAAAACTTTATTCCTCATTTCATATATAAACTTGTACGTTAGCCTGGCCCAGCCTTCAGTTCTCATACGGAGTTGCCTGCTTTACAGAGGAATAGCTAGCTACCATGTTGTAACCCCAAAGTTTGCAATGCATGTTCCCCTGTTTTACCCAGCCATGGAAAGATCCATACTGTCCTTCTTCACCGTTTTTCCAGACAAAACTTTGCCGTACCGACATTTTGTTATGCTGAGGGCTCTTTTTGGTTGCATGACCCCATTTTTCAGCAAAAAAGGTACAAGCATAATGTTATAACTTTCTTACATCATGGACCCAGAAACTCTTTCTCCTGTAGTCTGACTTTCAGCAAAAAGGAGCATAACTGATATGGCAAACTCGCAGAATTCAGTTGCAGTATCTTATACAGCGTGACACACAGTAAACATATAAAGAAGTGGTTATGTAAGCATTAAATAATTACAGGCGCCACAGAAATGTTCTTCAAAGTTGGGCTGTGGCTTGTGCTCGTCCACCGGGCCCCGATGGTGGCTGCGAGAGCCGGCAGGAGGGCGGGGACGAAGCCCGTTGAGGACAGCAGGGAGAGGAACAAAGCGAGTGAGGTGGGGAACTCGGGACTCACGGTGTTCCTCTCTCCGCCCTCCTCGTCGGCCTTCGTCCCTGCTCAGAGCTCGGGCCCCGCCTTCCTGCCAGCTTCTGCAGCCACCATCGGGGCCTGGTGGGTGGGCGCACACCACATGTGCGTTTAATAAAAACGGAAGTTTATAACATTTATGGTCTAAAATGCGTTTTGTGGTCAGTGAACACTTTCGCTATCAAAAAGAGCTCTAAGTGACGACTGGCCAACTAGCTTCTGAATGAGCTGTTGAACATTTGATTTCGTATGTGATAGATTGCAAATTTGTTTATTTCTGCCAGCCCACACCTTCATTTCCATACTAACATGGTTTAATCTGGGAGGAATTCAAATTACTTGGCTCAGTTGTGCCTTCAGTGCAGCTCAGACCACCTCCGGACTGGTCTGAGTGATCGTATAGCTGTCTGATCATCCCAAGATGCGTGAAGTGTAAACAGACTTTTAGTTTTTGTATATCTGCAACAGAAAATTCTTACTGCAGCTATTCTAAGTTATTAATCACATAAGATTACCGTAAGACGTCTCAGAGCTTTTCAGTTCCCTCTGTCCCTTTTAAAGAGCCATAACGTGTCATTTCTGAAGAGTGATTAGTAAATGGTCATAAAGTTGGGTCTTGCTTTTCAGAACTAATCTCTGCCGTCTTTCCAACTCAGGGTCTCAAGGACTTCGATCCGGGGGATACAGTTTATAATGCGACCGAATGGAATGATTTGGCTGATGGATTCGATGGCAGGTGGAAGAAAAAGGTGATGATTCATTAATGAAATCTGTTAATCTAATGAGTTTAAAGTTGGTAAAGCAATGAAATCCCTACCAATTTCAGCATTTTGCAATTGTAAACAGCCTTTCTCAGTCGTAGCAAACGGATTTACACTAAAGTGCATTTGCAAGTTGTCAACAGTGAGGAATATTAATGTGAGACTCTTATTTTTACATGAAAAGACCTTGCCTTTCTTGACTATTAGCATGTTGCAAAGACATGTTTAGCCGTTTACAACGACTGTGTTCTGTATATTGGACGCTCCCCCTCATTCTAAGCGTTGGCAAATATGGCAAAAGTGTCATATCATGATATTTCTATGATGCACAATATGCGTCATGATATTGTGACACACAGACACAGTGCACTGGAAGTGCCACATTTAAAACTGCCATTAAAAACTGTAAGTACAGCTATTTTTATTCATTACACATAACATGCAAACTATATCCAATAAAGCAGAACTAATTATGCTCTCTTTGTAATTAAACATGCAGTTGGTCCACACCAAACAGCTGAACTGTGGTCCGCCAAAACTCGCGGGTCTCGGTCCGCTTCCATTTGAACTCTGCTCCAGTTCACTGCTAGTGGGAATGCAGTTTTACAATAGTCCACACCAAACAGGGGAATTCAGCATCAGAGCATGCTTTCCACTTCTTCTACCAGCATGTCGGTGGGGTACTGTCTGCTTAAACTGCCTGACTCTTAACAGACACTCATATTGTTCTTGTAGCACAAGCTGCTGCTAATACCAGCAGACAAGCAATAAAATAATAGCGAAGATATTTGCATTTGATTTTGGCACATGGATTGCGGAACGTATTGCATAAGCGAGCCAAGTGGTCATATTCATATTTACAAACCAATCATAAAGAAGCAAATTAGTAATGCTTTAACTGTGAAGCACATTTGAGTGCTTGTATACTTGCAAAATTCCTGAACTGTTTGGTAATTGTCTGGTTCACACACACCTGATTCAACTCTGCAGATAAAAAAATTAAAATTACAAGGTTTAATTGTTGAGTCAGAGCCGAGAAATCAGAAAACTGCTGGACTCCAGCCCTCAGTTCCTCCCCCACTGCAGTACACTGTCCAGTATAAAACAGTTATAGTAATTACGTGTGACCCTGTATTACTACCATAGTACAAGGTCACATTACCACCAGGTGGTTATGTCCTGAAATGGCTACATTGCATTACATGATGCAGTATATCATGAAGATAGTACTGGCGTCATGCTTGGTCAGCGCAGCATGTCATCTGGGTATCTTTTGGGTACTGTAGACATTCATGTTGGCCAGTGCGGCTTGGGAAGGAAAGATATAGCACAGTGGCTGACGGTGCACCGCAATTGACCATAAAAAGTATTTGGATGTTTGGGCCACACTTACAAACGTACAGCGTACATATAAAGTTGATTTTATCAGGAAACAAACTGTCAAACCAGGTTGCATTTATTTTGAAGAATTCCAAGGATTTTCTTTTTAGCAAAGCGTTCAAATGGCAGCTGATACGTTTGATGTTTTGTTCTTTGAACACTTCTGCTGGTCCAAAATGGCTTTGTACCCATCAGTAAACAGCACTGTAAGAAAAAACAGTACCAGACTTTGATGTTTGCACCTCTTTGCTTTACAGAACCCTTAGTGCAGTCTGGTTGGAGTTCATCTCCAGGATTTCTCCACACAAAGTGTCTACAGTTTATGTGCTAAAAGTGGTCTCTGAAACAAATATTATTTCGTTGAATTTCATTAACCTCTTATTCTCCAGGGTATATTTTGTTTTTTCCTTCTGAATTCACATGACCAAATCGTAAGGCAAATTATTCAGTAACTGCATGAAATAAATGTAATTTTTTATTTTATTTATTTATTTTGTAAAAGCTCCCCTCAAATAAACAGAGCATGTGTTTTATGATCACACATATTGCTATATGCTTACAATTTACAGCTGAAAGCCAAAAATCTTAGACGCTCTTTGTATTATTTTTTTAAAAATAATTTTTACAGAACAGATCACTGAAGAGACGCCATCTGAGATCCAGTTTGTAGCTCAGATTGTGGAAAAGCTTATGAAGTATGACAGTTACGAAGAATATGACAAAGTGTGTTTTGGAACCACCGGTGTTCTCAAGGAATTGAAGAGGTTATTCAACAGTAAAATGGTTAATGTGTTCAAATCCTTTTGGGGCCACTGTATATACGTAGCAACTCTTGTAACAGCTCAAATGTTTGGTAAATTTACCGTAATGTGAACCGCAGTACGTTTTCAGGGGGCCATCAACTTTTAAAATATCTTTCTGCTGATTTGTAGACAGTGGTATATACTGTATAACTGGTGTATATGTATGTACGTATGTAAACTGGATTAAAAATAATACTTGAAGTTTGTTTTTGATCATATTTGCAGTTTGGTCACAGTCTGGGGTCTCGGGTGCAGGGGTTTCTTTACACAGACGTTCGAGTCTAACTTTTTTGCCTTTCTTTCTCTTCCCTCTAGTGGGAATATCGGACACAAGGCTTGTGCTGTGCCTTGTGCAAATTTTCCACGCGGTCGTGGTATTCCTTCCGGTCTCATATTCATCGCTGCCATGACGAGGAGCAGCGTCTCTGCAGTCTCTCCGTCTGCTCCGGCTGCCCGTTCATCGCTCACCCAAAAGTGATCTCCAAGCACTACAAACTGTTCCATCTTGAACCCCAGAAGCCAGAGCTTGAAGCAGTACCACAGCATCTGCCCACCAAAGCCTTCGGGAGTCACGTATTTCAGTGCAGAAAATGCCACTTTAATGATACTCTCCTGTACAGCATGAAGAAACATGTTCTCATTAATCATTACACCTCTCTGTTGAATCGCTTTGCTGGACAAAGAATGGACGGTGAACCTCAGCTCCTAGGTCCTATGTACCAGAAATTTTATTGCAAAGTCTGTGGAGCAAATGCCGAAACCTCAGAGCACTTGCTGTATCACATACTAACCTCTGACAAGCACAAGGAATTGGAATTACACATCAACGCTCTCATTTTCGAAACTGACAATAAGAAGTTGTTTCCCACTCTTGCACCAAAGGCACAAGGTAGTCCTGTTCTTGCAGGGGTGAATGGCCAACCTTTAGTGACTCCTGCTCCGGCTCCAGGTGCAGTACTACAGGGAGCGACGAATGGTAGCCCCAGACTGTTTAGTGCTCCTGGGCCTAACCCAGCAATTCTTCCTGCTCAAGCTTCAGCCCTGGTTCAGCTTGCCAGTGCTGAGGCAAAGGGTTTGCTACAACCTGGTCAGCCACTGGCTATTCAGAATGTCCAGACTGCAAGACCTATGCCTACCACGGCACCTGCCATTGCAGGCATGGCTCCCGCTCCAGCACTTCAGCCGGTAATTCCGCACCAGCAGATGCCAGTCAGGGTGGGAGTCCCTGCTCAGTTGCAGCCTCCACCTCGACAGGTTCTACTCCCACAAGGGGTACAGTTTAACGTTCCGGCTGTCAGAGGACCACCACCACCACCGCCGCCACAATCAATGATTGTTAGTCCACGGTTCCCTGTGAACCAGCCTACACCTAGAGGCACCATGCTAACATCACAGTCTCTTCTGAGTCATCTGATTCCCACAGGCAACAAAGTCGATGGCCTGCCCACCTATACTCTTGCTCCTCTACAAGTTTTGTCCGTCCGGGCAAATAACATGCAAGTGGTCAATAAGGCACCGTTGCCTGTATCACAGAACAACCCCACACTTCAGCACTGCGCATCCATGAGCAATGGTTCCCAGGACTCGAAGACTAAGAAATGGATCACCTGCCCCGTTTGTAATGAGCTTTTCCCATCCAGCCTGTACGAGTCCCATGCTGAGATCCACAAAGAGTCGTCAAAGAAGTCCAAGCTGGGCCTGGCTGCCCGAGCACCTTTCTTGAAGAAGATGCCTGACAAGACCGTGAAATGCCTGATGTGCAAGATCTTGCTCTCTGAAAAGGGGCTTTTCGAACATCTCCTTCACGGTTTGAACTGCTTGTACTGTTCTGGGATGTTCTACTCCATCAAGCAGCTGGTCGCACATATCCAGATGGACCACAGTCCCAACCAGAAGGCAAACTGCGACTTCATGAGGCGAGAGTACCGTCTTTACACCGACGAGTCTGGCAGCCTCCTTTTCCCCTACTTTGACATCAACACCACAGCCCCGAAGGAGATGATGGGAGAAAAGGAGCTCAACTTGGCACTGGTCACCAATTCCCTCGACCTGATCTTTTTGAAGATGATGCCTGCGACTCCTCATCCTGTGTGCAGGATGCCAATGCCGACACTCGACAGCCCAGAGTGCGTCTTCTGTTCTGAGAAGCTGATGAACATGGAGTGCTATCAGATCCACCTCCGAGAGAAGCACTTCATCGTGCCTACTGTACACGCCATACTCAAAGCCCCGGCGTACAAGTGCATCTACTGTGGTGGCGTGTACACAGGGAAAACCACAGTCAAGGCGATAAGCGTCCACATATCCAAATGCCGTTCTGCGCCCAAAACCCCAAGAGATGCCGAAAGAATAATGAGTTCTGGACTAGCCGTAGCCCCCAGAGTGAGCCAGGGGCTGGTCTCGTTCCCACCACCTCCAAGGCAGACCACCATTCAAGTTCCGGCACCGGTCCAAGCTTCGGTCCCAGTGATCCAGAACCCAGAGGTGGCGGCAGAAATGCATAGCAAGATGAGGCTGGAGCTGGCCGTGAGGGAGGCCATTGAGGCCAACAAGCGAGAACGAGAGGCCAGGCTAGCAAGGAAGAGGAAGATAGAGAGGGAGAAGATGGCAGGTTTAGCCACTCAGTCCTCCGAAATGCAGGTGGATCCTTCCGTGCAGTTTGCGCTGGATCCTACCGGAATGGAGATGCGCTCCTTTGAAGACCGGCGGGACTTCGTGAACAGGTACTTCAACAAACAGCCCTACGCACTCAAGAAGGAGATCCTTGGCTTGAGCAGCCGTCTACTGCTGAATAAGACCGACATCGCCTGCCAGTTCGGAGCGAAGCGCACCAGGTGCATGAAGCACCTGCAGAGAAACAAAGCTGTGGTCCTCTTGGGCTTCAAAATGGCGGAGTTGATGAAGCTCAAGCACAACCTGCACATTCCGGAGATAGAGCCGGAGAAGACGGTGGCGGACGTGGAATCGGAAGCGCCGGAACCCGAGTTGCGAAGGGAAGAAGAGGCTGAATAAAGGCTGCCTAGTTTGTTTTATTCCTCATGAAGTTGAAAAGAAACGAAACAAAAGAGCGTCAAGAGAAAAAGACTCTTCAAAAATGATGCAAAAAAGTGTATCGTATTCATGGTAGATCAGTTTTCAAAGGACCACAATCATCTCCGTAGAAACCGTAGACTCCCTTTTTCTCGGAAGTAAACTTAAATAGTAAGTTGAACTTGGCTGTATCTGGATTTATATGCTGTTCAGTAACGTGTTTGCGTAGTCATTCTGCACAGATCAATACTGTATTATAGGTTCATGTTTTTGAAATGTTACCCCATCACGTCGTACCACCACTGCTGTTTTACAATACGATTTAGTCGGCCTTCGCTTAGGTATTTTTGTTCAAGCTGTTTTTTATTGTTATTATAATTATAATTATTATTATTTTAACCTAATACCAACATTTTTATACTCCGATATTAATGCAAAAGCTATTTCTTAGTGCTCTTCGAGTTAAAGCGCTTTCTTTGTAGTGTAGATTCAACGTATTTAAGAAGTTACCCATGTTTTTTTCCTCGAAACGTTTCCAGTATTTCGTCAAAGTGCTTCCTCATTTATCCCGTGCCTACATCATGATATGTCAGTATGGTATGTCACTGTGTGTTACTTTGCATAGAATTGTGCCTAAAAGCGGAGTACCCCTTTCAGCCTCCTCTCATGGTGGTCTCTCGATGCACTGTGGACAGAAGCAAGTCGGCAAATACAGGATCCACTCTGAAGCTGGCAGCAGTGGACTGTTCTAGTTTCTGTGAACTGCCTAATTCTCTGGCCTCCCAGCTCTGAGATCCCACTCCGTCTTTCAGAAGCATGGCAGTCCATTGTTCCGTCGCAGGTCGTAAGCATGGTTCATCCACATAGTTCGGTTCTTGTAACAGTGGAATGTAAGGCTGTCAGAAGATTCGACGTATTTGCTCACGTCGTGTTTCCAAGCTTATGTCTTTAACTACAGCACCGATTGAGCACGTTGCAGCATTTGCAAGGGAGCTGCAGCGTGAGAAAGAATGCAAAATTAAAATTACACATTAAATTATATTATGTGCTGCTATTATTTTATTATTTAATGTTTTGTGTGTGTGTGTGTGTGTATATGTATATATATATATATATATATATATATATATATATATATATATATATATATATATATATATATATATATATATATGTTTGTTCATTTTTAAAACTAAACATTATACTGTTTATTAGCCTCTTTCCATTTCAGAGAAGGTACTTCAGGGGTTCTTTAGTAAAGGGAAAAAAAGGTTCTATAACACTCAAAGAACCCTCGGCATGATTAACAGATTCTTTGCATCTTGAAAGCGTTCTTTAATAAAGAAAAAAAAGGTTCTACATAGAACCGTGAACACTCAAAGGATCCTCGGCATGATCAAAGGGTTCTTTTAGTAAAGAAAATGGTTCTATATAGAAGCATGAACACGCAGAGAACCCTTTGCAAGATTAAAAGATTCTTTGCATCTTGAAAGCGTTCTTCAGATTGATGGAGATGGTTCTATATAGCACCCAAAAGGGTTCCAGTGTTACAAGCTTGACGTCATAACAATACAAGAATGCTTTTCAAAACGGTTCTATATATAACCACCTACAACACATTCTCCATCAATCTGAAGAATGATGCAAAGAGTCTTTTAATCTTGCAAAGGGTTCTCTGTGTGTTCATGCTTCTATATAGAACCATTTTCTTTACTAAAGAACCCTTAAAGCACCGTCTTTTTTAAGGGTGTAATTTCTCTCCAAAATCTGTTTGGATTCAAAATGTACGTTAATAATGAAGCACATTATTCAGTTATATTTGACAGATGAGCTGATTGACAGTAATAGACAGAAATTTAATATAATTTAATAATTAATCATTTCTAATGCTTCTGCATAATTAAATGGTCCGCCCAATGACAGCTGGGATAGGCTCCAGCACCCCACTGCGACCCAGAAGGATAAGCGGTTTAGATGATGGATGGCTGGATAATTAAATGGTTGAGATGTAGGCAGTCAGAACTGTTCACAGTGGTGATGATAGGAACCAGACGTCCACCTCTAAAAGCCCCCTCACAGAAAGTTACTACATGAAATGGTTATGAATTCACTGCCTGATGACTGAGACATTCATGGTAGAAGCGCACATGCAGGGCGTTGTGGAGCAAAATAGTCCTCAAAGAAGCCCCCTAAAGGACTCGTGTAGGTTCACTGGTGGTTTTGGATGGTAAATAAAATGTCTATATTTGTGTTGTAGTCATGGCGACCCCTGGTTCCCATCACCACCACTGTAAAGAAACCTGAGTCAGTTTCTCTGCAGTGGTTTCCCATAAAAACCTTCACAGCAACCTCAGTGAGTTTCAGAACAATCAGAACCCGCCTTAAGGAAACTCCTTGGGGTGTGATAAATGTGCGTGAAGTTTGATTTCTAACAATAAAATTCGAATAACGGCGCACATGACGTCACTGAGACACCTTCCAATTAGAGGTTGAGTGATCCGAGTGATTTTTATTAACATCTCACCAATTTAAATACGCAGAAATCTTTTTAAAATTTGGTGGAGTTCTCCTTTATTCTCTGTGGCGAAACGAATGGCGAGTCTAAGTGTTTTGAGCGCCACCAGCAGATGGCGCTGATCTGCACATTTAATCCTCACCCCAGTAGATTTGGTCCAGAAAATTCACAGTATAATAAAGAAGTGTATTATTATTATTATTATTATTGTTATATAATTAGTCAGTGTATAGAGACACAAGGCATACATTGCGAAGAGCACTGAAAGGCCACCACATTAAACAGCAAAATAAATAAATAATGAAATGAATAAATAAATAAAAGGCTGCTTAATGAGGCTCTTCATCAGCCAACACAAAGTGGTCAATTAGAGTCAACAGTTTTGGGACTTTATTTTCTTTCTTTTCACACTTTTCAGAGGCGTATCTAACAAATGAACATCCATCCTTCAAATATGTGCTTGGAGGCCCAATCCCATTTCACCCCTCGCCCCTACCACTCAGCCCTTAGCCCTCTGTTTTGCGCGTTCACGTCTAGGGGTAGGGTGTCCCGATTTATGTTGAGATAGAGGGGGAGGGTGAAGTGTTGGGGCTGCATGACCCACCAAATGGAGGTTCTTCAGAGACTCCAAACAGACATAACATAACAAACATAACAAGCATAAAAACAGTATGTTGATGTCTCGGTAGCTATCTAGCTAACTTCCCGTTCCACCTTAAATAGTCCAGCAGTTCTGATGCCTGAAGCGCCAGAATGTAACTGCTGCTCCATTTAAGGTGGAACGGGAAAATTTGAATAAGAATCTGGTGAATATCTGACTTCAGCTTCATATCACTGAAGAGTTAGGGGTGGGTGATAATAAATAATTGCCCCCCTGTTTGAAGTCATGTGATGCCCTAAATGTAACTAAAGCTCAGCAGTGAGGAGCTGAACTTTACCCTCCTCTGCTGTCACTGCAGACTGGCAGGGTCGCCTACAGAGCAGCGCTGGTAGCTGTTAATGAAGTGATGCTCTTTTTATTTGAGGGACCCTTTTCAGAGGATAGATTTCAACCACTACCCTGTAACTCAGTTCAAAGGGGTTAGGGTGACTCGAAAACAAAGGGTAGGGGTAAAAAGAAGAAATCGGATTGGGCCGGAGAATCACTTGAGTACAGTGGCACTTATATACACACAATCCAAATATTCGCCACAAATTCAGTTTTTTTCTCCGCCAAGACCGACCTTCACAGACATGAATCTGATGTATCTCAATATTTGGGCCTTTTTTTTACACTGAAAGAAAATATGTTCCACCGTTTCAGCGTCATTACGACAAAAACAACCTGAGTTTGTATCTAAATTAAAATGTTCAGTATAATTAAGTAGTTCAATACTATGAAGCTCAGCGGCTGGGGCCCCACGTTTGCGCTCCAGTCCAGAAGAGGGCGCAATGCTGTGTTTGAGCAGAGAGCCGGTTTAAGGGGAGACTGTTCACTTCTTGTTTCTCCTGTTATATCAATAACGACTGCAAAGCGTCAGAGGGCGCCCGCGAGCAAGTCCCCAATGAATGGGGGAGAAGTTAAAGTCGTTTCTAACCACTTGTCCTGGACCTCATCTGTATATTTACTTGTTTCTAGCAAAAAGTAAGGACACTTTCCTATAAGGACTTTGTTGAGGCGGTTGATGCTCAGTGATGTCGCAAATGTACACGAGCTTCTTAAACTGTAGTTCAAAGTAAAACAACGTTTTATGATGTTCTGTGTTCAGGAAATGAACGCATTCCTCTCTATATAAAAACGATTAAGCGTTTACAAACTATGATTTTGCTCAAATACTCCATAGGAACCCATTCATTTTGGACTCGCTCGGGAGCGCCCTCTAGCGTCCGACAAGCCCGGAAAACATTATTGAGTGGCAGTTCTCGTCTGATATGGTTTATCTTTGGTGCGAGTGTGAGCTGAGACAGAAAACAGAGTAACGTTAATCGTTTAATTAAAAAAAATACAATAAAAAAAACGGACTATTTTCATTTTATTTAAGGTAAGGTTTTCTAACATTCGTCGCCGCTCCTCTAATTTTTTTTCCTTTTCGGAAAACTATCTGTGGCCGAACTTTCTAGAAGGTGAACTGAACGCTGCCGGTCAGCTAGCCTAGCTACCGCGGCGGAGGGTAAATAAATATAAATATGTAGCGTATATAAATGTTCGCGATAAATAAATGATGTGCGAAAACGTCGGAGAACTCATAATGTATCGTTTTATGCACATTATGAGTTTATTTTCGTCTCGTTTAGACACGTAACTTTAGTAACATTAGCGTGGCTAACTGTTAGTAGCTAAAGTTATTATGTTTGAATAACAGCGGCGCTAACAAACATTAACTTAGCTCATATAAACCAACTGGGCTGGTTTTCCAGCTTTATAGCCGTGAAAACTCTGTCCAGTTCTGCTCACCTACCAGGCCGTTAGTACACTTTTGGACAAAGCTGAATTCAGCTTCTTATTCGCCAGCTTTTTGTTAATATTTCCCCGTTCCACCTTAAATGGTGCAGCAGTAGCGAAGACGCCGTTGCAGCAGTGAGGCGCCTGATTGCAACTGCTGCACTATTTAAGGTGGAACGGGAAAATTCTCCCTTTCTTTCCCTCCTTCTTCATTCTTTAGTAAAGGCAGTTGTTTTCTTTAGAACTATGAGTTCTGTATAGAACCATTCGCACGCCTAAATGATTCCCTGCATGCTGAAATGGTTCTTCAGATTAGTGGAGAATATGTTGAATATGGTTCTACATGGAGCCTTTTTGAAAGTGGTGCTATATAGCACCAAAAAGGGTTCTGTTATTGCTATGTCAAACTTGTAAACAGTAGAAGAACCCATTTTTGTTATATGGCAATGTTTTTAAAAGGGTTCTGTACAGAGTCATGTATACCACATTCTTCATCAACGTGAAGAACCGTTTCACCATGCAAAGAACCCTTTAAGCATGAAATGGTTATGCACTCTTAAAAAAGGTTTTTCAAGGGTTATTTAGTAAAGAAAATGGTTCTGTATAGAACACCCAAAGAACCCTTGGCATGATTAAATGTTTTTCTGCATCGTGAAAGCTTCTTAAGAATGTGCTGTAGATGGCTCTATATAGAACCTTTGTGAAAAGGGTTTTATGTAGCACCAATACAGGTTCTTCTGTTGTAACAATGTCAAGCTTGTAAAGATAGAAGAACCCTTTTCAAAATCGTTGTGTATAGAACCATATAAAAGACACTCTACATTGACGCCTTCTTGGTGGAAAGAACCCTTTAATCATACAAATGGTTCTTTGAGTGTTCATGGTTCTATATGGAACCATTTTGTTTCCTAAAGAACGCTTGAAGAATCTTTAAGTGTGTAGAAGACCCCTTTTTGGTGCTGTATAGAAACGTTTTCATAAAGGTTCTCTATAGAACCATAAACAACACATTCTTCATCAAACTATAGAGCTGTTTAACCATTAAAAAGAACCATTTAAGCATGCAAATTGTTCTGTATAGAACTCATGATTCCAAATAGAACCATTCCCTTAGATAAAGAACCCTTGAAGAACCATATATTTAATTATATAGGCTATAAAAAGATCCTCTCGTAGTTTTAATGCTGGTAGTACTGTCTGATAGTCTGATTTAGGCTATCAGGATATCCTACCTACAGTTCTGTGTACTCCCTATAAGTATGCTGTACTGTATCACAGGTCATCAGAACCCTGTCCTGAGCTGCTGTACTTTGTGTTCTGTTTTACAGGAGAACATCTCTTGAGCCAGGATGTCTTATATGCTTCCACATCTCCACAACGGCTGGCAGGTGGACCAGGCCATCCTGTCGGAGGAGGACCGAGTGGTCGTTATCCGGTTTGGCCACGACTGGGACCCCACCTGCATGAAGATGGACGAGGTTTTATACAGCATTGCTGAAAAGGTGAGTACACGCTTAAAAACAAGATGGTTCTTCAAGTGTTCTTAATATAGACCATATAGAACCATGAACACTTAAAGAAATCTTTGCATGATTAAAAGGTTCCTTGCATGGTGAAAGCGTTCTTCACATTGATGGAGAACGTGCTGTAGTTTAGTGCTGGGCGATATGACCTCAAATCAGTATCATGATTAATTGAATACCTCGATTACGATTAATGAACGATTATTTTGTTTTTGGGTTTTTGCCCTCATAGTTCACTGACAAGGTTTGTACTGTAAATATTCTCTGCATATCTTAATGTAAATCGTCTCAACAGCCAGATCGGAATTCACGCGACTTTTATGTCAGTCTAACCCGAAATTCGTCATAATTTCGCGCTGCTGAAACTCATAAACATTTAGGCTGATGTTTCTGTACACAAATTAGAAGAGACTCATCCAAAACCCTCCGTGTTTGAAGAGATTTAGAAAGAAATGTCCGAACGCGGCCGCAGGAGAACGAGGCTGCAGCGTCAAAGAACAGTTAAAAGTCTGAAAGCAGAGTTTAAAGAATCCGTGGGGAAAGGATTAACAGAAAAAAAAAATCGAAATAATTACTTTTAATCGATTACTTTTCAATTAATTGCCCAGCCAGTATTTTTGCCCAGTATTTTTTTTTTTTACGATTTTTTCTTTTTCAACTGATAGCATTGCTCAAACAATTGTTTATATGTTATTTAAGAGTTAATAGGTTAATCGTTTACAAATCCATAGAATTCATGGACCATATTACTAGCGGTGCAAGAAAGACGACTCGCTTGTATATGAGGTACGTTTCTGTTCACTGGAGTCTTTACTTCTCTTGTATGATTTGTCTTAACGCCAGGTAAAGAATTTTGCAGTGATTTACCTGGTGGACATCACAGAAGTGCCCGATTTCAACAAGATGTACGAGTTGTACGACCCCTGCACAGTCATGTTCTTTTTCAGGTGAGTTCAAGAAAGTCTTTCCATCACAATCTGATTCACAATGCAGGCTTTTCCTCTTAAACTGCCGGAGTAAAGTGCAGAGGAACTGGTCAAGCCAAATTTGGTGCCGTACAAAACTGCAACTCCCGCTGCTTCATTTGATTTAGGATCAGAGTTTAGTGTTTTCACATCTTTAAAATATGAAGAATAATTAAAATGCTGAATGTCAAGCTCACTCCTACTCTGGTGGCAGGAATAGTGTTTTCTTAGGATGAAATGCCATTAAATGTTATTTAAGGTGCATTTTGGTATTTCTCATGCTCGTGAACCCCATTCCAGCCTAAATTGAGAGTGAAAGTTAGTTATGGTGAGTTGCATCATCAAGCAGAGGCTGAAAGGTAAAGGATATAAGGTTACAGAAGCTGGTTAAGATCTGTGGGATTGGATGGGGAGCTGGTTGTGTTTGAAAGATTTGGGAGGTTGTCAGTAAAATTGGAATCAAAGCAGGATTTACCCAGCTAACTTAAGCTTAGTTCAGTTTTACCCTGGATTTTCATCGTCTCAGGACGGCTCACTATTAACCATCACTTAAGCCCATTTTACACCAGACATACACTATATTGCCAAAAGTATTCACTCACCCATCCACATCATTGAATTCAGGTGTTCCAATCACTTCCATGGCTACAGGTGTATAAAACCAAGCACCTAGGCCTGCAGACTGCTTCTACAGACATTAGTGAAACAATGGGTCGCTCTCAGGAGCTCAGTGAACTCCAGCATGGTACCGTGATAAGATGCCACCTGTGCAACAAGTCCAGTCATGAAATTTCCTCACTACTAAATATTCCACGGTCAACTGTCAGTGGTGTTATAACAAAGTGGAAGCGATTGGGAACGACAGCAACTCAGCCACGAAGTGGTCGGCCACATACAACGACAGAGTGGGGTCAGTGAGGCGCATAGTGCGCAGAGGTCACCAACTTTCTGCAGAGTCAATCGCTACAGACGTCCGAACTTCATGTGGCCTTCAGATTAGCTCAAGAACAGCGTAGAGAGCTTCATGGAATGGGTTTCCATGGCCGAGCAGCTGCATCCAAGCCTTATATCACCAAGCGCAATGCAAAGCGTCGAATGCAGTGGTGTAAAGCGCCGCAACTGGACTCTAGAGCAGTGGAGATGTGTTCTCTGGAGTGACCAATCACGCTTCTCCGTCTGGTGATCCGATGGACAAGTCTGGGTTTGGTGGTCGCCAGGAGACGGTACTTCTCTGACTGCATTGTGCCAAGTGTAAAGTTTGGTGGAGGGGGATTATGGTGAGGGGTTGTTTTTCAGGAGTTGGGCTCGGCCCCTTAGTTCCAGTGAAAGGAACTCTTAATGCTTCAGCACCAAGAGATTTTGGACAATTTCATGCTCCCAACTCTGTGGGAACAGTTTGGCGGCCCCTTCCTGTTCCAACATGACTGCGCACCAGTGCACAAAGCAAGGTCCATAAAGACACGGATGAGCGAGTTTGGTGTGGAAGAACTTGACTGGCCTGCACCTCAACCCGATAGAACACTTTGGGATGAATTAGAGCGGAGACTGTGAGCCAGGCCTTCTCGTCCAACATCAGTGTCTGACCTCACAAATGCGCTTCTGGAAGAATGGTCAAAAAGTCCCATAAACACTCCTAAACCTTGTGGAAAGCCTTCCCAGAAGAGTCTAAGCTGTTATAGCTGCAAAGGGTGGGCCGACATCATATTAAACCCTATGGATTAAGAAGGGGATGTCACTCAAGTTCATATGCGTGTGAAGGCGAGTGAATACTTTTGGCAGTATAGTGTAGTAACCGTGCCTCTCCATGAGCGATAAGCTCCTCTGATAAATGGTGTAGTCTTTTAGTCCGGCTACCTGCATCACATGCCGCCAGTGCGGTAACATGCGCATAAAGGACAAAAATATGCTTTAGGTTAATATTTAATGCTTGCTGTGCTCAGCATGCTACTGGTTTCTACCTAGAACCAGTATAAAATTCAGGATTCGTGCCATGTTGTGAAATCTCACTGCATTAACTAACATTAACTACAAACCATTTTCTTCCCCTATAAAGCCACTATTTTGGAGAACCGGTAGGCTGGATGAAATGGAATAAATGGGAAGAGAACATCCGACCCACTTAAAGATGGTTTCAAAGGGTTCTTTAGTAAAGAAAATAGTACTATATAGAACCACAAATACTTAAGGAGCTCTTTGCATTGTTGAGTTGTTCTTTGCATTGTGAAAGCGTTCTTCAGATTAACGGAGAATGTGTTTTGTATGGTTCTATATAGCACCAAAAAGGGTTTTTCTATTGTCACAGACTTGACTACATAACAATAGAAGAACAGTTTTTGGTGCTATACAGAACCCTTTTCAAAAGGGTTCTATATAGAATCATATAGCACATTCCAAAGAACCATTTAATCACACAAAGGGTTTTTTGAGTGTTCATGGTTCTATATAGTACTATTTTCTTTACTAAAGAAACCTTAATGAACCATCGTTTTATTTTTTTAAAGACTAGTTACAGGCTTGACATCGGAACAAAACAGCAGAACCCTTTTCAAGAAGATTCTATACAGAACCATATGCAACACATTCTCTATCAATCTGAAGAACGATTTCATGAAAAGAATGATTTAATCATGCAGAGGCTTTTTTAAATGCTCATGTTTGTATATAAAATTAAAAATGAATTTCTTTACTAAAGAACCCTTGAAGAACCATCTTTTTGTAAGAGTGTGGAGTCTTTCAGCGGTCAAACGGGGTTATGGTGCACCAGCCAACGGGTTGGTGTACTGTGACCCTAAAGCCCTCCCAGCGGCAAAAATCACGATTGAAGATTTTATTTTTTTAAGTGCTCTATAATGCGTTTTGGAACAAAACCATTATTTTATTTATGCCTTTCTTGTCTGTGTCACAGGAACAAGCACATCATGATTGACCTCGGGACAGGTAACAACAACAAGATCAACTGGACCATGGAGGACAAACAGGAGATGATAGACATTGTTGAGACCGTCTACAGGGGAGCCAGGAAAGGACGAGGTCTAGTGGTGTCCCCCAAAGACTACTCGACCAAATACAGATACTGATATCCCCCCTTTATTCATTCTCCAGTCTGTTCGTTGCCGTTTCCTTTTCTCAGATTCCTCCGCGGGACTGTTTTGTGTGAACATTCACGCCACGTGGACAGTGAAGTGGCCTTGTGTAGGAATTTTATATTTTATTTAAAGGATCCCCCGTGTTGTTGCAGTTACCATCAGAAACTGGGCTCCAGTGCACCGTTTTGTTGTTTTTCCTCCATGTTGTGAATAAATATTTCTAAGAAAAGTGTTCAAGGAAATTGTGTTGCACTGAATGAATGCAGTGTTAAAGTCATTGGTGTCTGAGCTGCCATGTTTAATAAGCTAATTGTTTATTTTCCATTACAGCAATAATGCTTTGCCACATGAAGTCAAACCTCAGTTAAAACTGATGGTTAATAATAAACTATTTATAGAGCAGCTTTCATACATTTATCAGAAAATCACCAAACTCAACTTTACACACACCCATACATGGTGAAAGCTAAATTAGAAAGAATTTGTTTCTTAAAAGTGGCTACAGACGGCCTAAGAAAAGGTGTCGCACTCTAGAACACATTTTTGCTGTATCCTAATGTTTTGGAGGACCAGATTGAGAACCTTTGCATTGTAATAAGCAACCAAGATACCTCTTTCTGTTATGCTTCCACACTTAGAATAAAGGTGCTGTTCAGGTACATTTTTCATTCATCAAGGTACAAACAGTGGTTTTAAGGTCTGATTGTGAACCTTAAATAAGTTTGTCCAGGTGAAAAGTTCGTATTTGTACCTTTTCATAACCGAATGTTTTAAAACAGAACAGTAAAATAAAAGCCTGGAGACGAGACAGGGTGTGTGGAGTCAGTACAGCTTAGAACATATCATTTCAGTGGATTATGGTTCAGTTATGTTCCCTGACTAAAGGTACTGAGATGGACCCTTGAGGGGACCACCCCAGTTTTGTGCCTTTTTTTGAGTGTAGACCCCCCCCCCACACACACACACACACACACGTCACAACAGTAAAACACACCTGATTCAACTTATTTGCTGAGTAGCAAGGCTTTAATGAACTGAATTCAGAGTGTTAGCTGAGAGTAAACGCTCTAATCTCCACAGCACATTGGCCCCAGTTTGACATGCCTGTCCTAAATGCCTCCATTTCACAATAATGGCTCTTGCATTTGACTTTCGTCATCCTAGTGAGGCACAAATTTCATGAACTGACTTGTGGCCAAGGTGGCTTCCTATGACAGTACCATGTATGAAGTCATTGAGCTCTTCAATATGACCTATTCTACCTCCAGTGTTTGTCTCTGGCAGTAGTTCCCAACACTGGTCCTGGAGTAGCCCCTGTCCTGCATAGTTTAGTGTTTCTCCTGCTCAGATACAACAAAAATTGAGGTGCACTTTGTTCTTCTATTCCTATAAATATTTGAGCTGTGACATTTCCTGTGTAATGGTGTGTAGGTTTCATTTTATGACTAACAACCTAATCTAGGCTACCAGCTGTTAGGTATGGATGTAGCTATTTGAATACATGTATATCAAAACTCAAAACAGTGTTCAGAGCTTACTTTGGATATCTGGGAAAAAAGCAGGTGTAGTTTGTAATAAAACTACATTTTCAAAAATAGGTTTTGAACAGTGTGTGCAGCCTGTAGCTGCAGTGAAAGCATGTGAACTTCAAATCAAAAACTGCATGTATATAAAGTGTCTGGAAACATACTAACATGCAACAGCAACACCACAGTGTAGTTCAAATGAGCCTTTGAGTTCTCAATGCACCAGCGTAGCCTTTTATAAGTCACATTCAGATGAACGAGTCTTACAAGAAAGTTTAAAACTGCTCAACTTTTAATTCAGAGAATTTTCAGAGCTCAAAACATCTGCAGCCACTGTAGATCAAGACTAGAAGGGAAGTAAAAAGAAAAAAAAAAAGTTAATATTCATATCATTAAATGCATCAAAACATTTAACCAATGATTATGAATAGGCAAAATCAATACACAGTTTTCCCATTAGCACTACAAAGCACTCAGTTTCTCTCAACTCCATTACTGTGTTACATCAAGTGCTAATCTGAGCCTATAAAATCACAAATCCTAGCCAGGGACTTTGAGTTTAAGCATAAGCTTGAAAGAAAACAAACAAACAAACAAACAAAAACATTAACAATACAATTTGGTCGAGAGCTTAAAGCTGCATTACGTGAGTTATGGGGATTTGGAGACCCCTCTGGTGGAAGTGTGTAAATGCACATCATGCGGAAGAACATTTTGTAAAATGGGTTGTGCTGCGGCCAACGCTGCACTACCCCCCTGTTTTGGTGACAGGAATGATATAACAAGGTACATTTGCATGTCTCATTTGCATACAAACCATGTATATGAATAATTACCAACACACCTTGCCATCAAAGCAGGTCTCCTTACACTGAGTCTGGGACGGCATACAGACCTCGGTAGAGCACATGAAGTAGATCTGTGAAAGGAGGGAAAGATGGATGAGCATCTGAGACACAATCAGTCTAGAACAGAAGTGGGATTACCGCACCTCCTCGTTGAGGTATTTATTGGTGGACTGGTCCATGAACTGGAAGGCCTTCACTTCAAAACGGCGCACGTGGCGATTCTGCGACTGGTCGGCCACGTAGAGGATCGAGATGTTGTCGGCGTCGAGAGGGTTGGGGCAACTGCAGGACAAACAAACCAAACAAGCTTAGAGTGGACTCAATACTGCCCGGTACAATCCGACACGGCTGCTTCTAATGTTATTTAGATTTCACAGCTTGATTTTTAAAAACTTTAGTATAACGTTTTGGTGTGAAATGGTTCATTGTAGAGACTCTGGTTTCTTTACAGTGGTGGTGATAGGAACCAGGGGTCGCCATGACTACAACACAGATATAGACATTTTATTTACTATCCAAAACCAGCAGTGAATGGACCAAACATGCATGTTTTATTTGTGTTTATTTATTTACGCATTTGGGTAAATCTGTTTATTCATTTCCTCCTCCAGTATGTTAATAAGGAAGACTAAACCTACAACCTACAGGGAGATTCACTCGAAAGAGGCCCCGAATATTCTGCTGTAACTCCTGTTAGGATGAAGCAATCTGAAGCAAAAAAATGCGCTACATACCTTGACGTATGTGTAATCGATTGCATTACATGCGATGCTGGAAGTGATCTGTTTTCTGCCAGACACAAAGAGGTACGGGGGGTATGCACCCAGAAGCTGCAAACGGAGGTTAAACGTCATGACGGCTGTCCGGCGCCTACCTCATCGCCCCGACGCAGGGGCATCCCAGCTTATCTGAAGCTCCATATACTGAGGAGCACATTGCACATTGTTTCGTTCAGATTGCTTCGTCCTAGCGAGAGTTATTACAGAACATTCGGGGCCTCTTTCGAGTGAATCTTCCTGTAGTTAAATCACATAGAAAGCAGTGTGTTATATTACTCTTGCCTCTTGGACCTGAGCCTAGATTCTATGCTGTGAAAATGGACCAATGACTGCGCTCTGTTTTGGATGGAGGGATTAAATGCAGACTAGGTAGAGCTGAGCGGTTAAATAGACTTGGATGGGTCAATGTTGGACAGCGTGTGAAATACGCCCTGGGATTCAGGGGGTCTCAGATTGGCTGGCTACTAACTCACTCACTATGGCTGATTGTGATGCTTTAATGGCAAAAAAATTTTTGGTTTAACAAATGATTCTTTTGGAAGTTCTTTAGTTTGGTAAGGCGCCCTTCCACACTCATCTTACACATCTCCTCTTCGGTCTTCAGTTTGAGAAATGAGCACTCACACACTCACACTATTTCCACCAAACCCTTGTGAAATTGGGTGTTTTTAGATTTACAAATATGCTGCAGCACACTGTAAGATGCTATGAAGGAACAACTGGGTGATCCAATTTGCTACAGCGCCACCCTGAGGCAGAGCAGTGCTGCAGCTCTAGTCAGTTAAGAATACTTAGCATGGAGCGGTTACAGTTACAAACCTGAACCTAAAACTATTTGTAACTTTGGCTGAGTACCTGGTAGCTTGTGTGGTCACATGATCCAACATGAATCTACACACTTAAACGATGGCTCTTCAAGGGTTCTTTAGTAAAGGCAATGGTTCTATTTAACGTTTCGGCTATTGTTACAAGCTCAATATTTTGGTACTATATAGAACCATTATCAAAAAGGTTCTACACAGTACCATATACAACACATTCTCCATCAATCTGAAGAACCATTTCACCATGCAGGGTTCTTCGGTAAAGGCAATGGTTCTGTTTAATGGTTCTGCTGTTACAAGCTCGACATTTTGGTTCTGTATAGAACCATTATCAAAAAGGTTCTACACAGAACCATATACACAACACATTCTCCATCAACCTGACAACCATTTCACCATGCAGGGTTCTTCAGTAAAGGCAATGGTTCTGCTGTTGTTACAAGCTTGACAGTTTGGTGCTAAACAGAACCATTTTAAACAGGTTCTATACAGACCCACATGCAACACATTCTCCATCTATCTGAAATACCATTTCACTATGCATATAACCATTTAAGCATGAAATGGTTCTATTTAGAATTAATGGTTCTAAACAGAACCATACCCTTTACTAAAGAACCACACATGGGTGTGCAGCATCAACAGTAAACACAAACTTCAGGTTCCAAATAACCATTTTGTCTGATTTTGGTTTTGTGAGAGTCACAGACAGTGATTCTGGCTAGTTAGTGTATTTTGTGGTTAAAGACAGGTCACCCTACTCCAGTGATATCATGTGATGACTCTTTGGCCAATCAGTGGTTTGCACCATTACTAGCTTCACCCAGCCGACTTGGCACGCTTGGTAATCAGATTCAGATTGGCTACTCAGGTCCAGTACAGCTCACTTGGCAGAGGAAACGACAAAAATGCATGATCATGCATTTAAAACTGCACATCACGTGTTACAGCCCTACTTTCTCCTCAAACTGAACACAGCGCGGTCTTCAAACCTACCCTTCATACAGCAGAACCAAGGCGCTCTTAGCGGAGCGAGGGTAGGCCACGCAGTAGTGCACCACCAGGGTGGCTTTAGGGTTTGGGGCGTTTATTCGCACTTCCAGGTACACAGGTTTACCCAGGAGAATTCTCAGGGGCTGGTGATCCTCAGCGTGGAATTTGGTGAAGGTCTTGTCTGCAAAGAAAATGAGATTTATGAACGGAGGTGACAGGAGTTCAGGTAATAAAGCTTATTTGAAACATGTTACAGTGAGGAGCAGATGTGTATTTATGTAGCAGATATAATGATCTGTAATACTGTTTATTTTTAGGATCCCCATTAGCTGCTATTGTGATAGCCGCTGTTCTTCCTGGGGTCCAGTAGACATATCATGCATAACAAAAATAGTGCGGTAATAATTAACAATACAAGCCAAACAAAAACACACCAAAAATAAAATTAAATAAATAAATAAGTTTCATCAAGAAAAACAAAAAAGGCAGAGAAAAAAAAACAAAAGGACAAAGAAAAAGAAAACCGAAAAATAAAAAGCAGACAATGTAACCATAAGACGATTGAAAACTGGGGAAAATTATATATATATATATATATATATATATATACACACACACACACACACACATACATATATTATATATATATATATATATATATATATATATATATATATATATATATATATATATATATATATATATACACACATATACACACATACACACACACATACACACACACACACACATATATTTACAAAACGAATCTGTAACAGATCAACTGGGGGTGTGATTATTAGTAATTTGTTATTCTATCCAGGTACAGAAGTGGGAGTGCTGAGGGTGCAGGAGCCCCTAGATTTGTTTAACTGCAGCTGCTCAAATAAAAACAAAAACAAAACAAAAAAAAAAAAAAAGTTTTTAAAGTTCAGATTTTAACGTACTAAAGACGTGCTTGATTTAGAGTGAATTATTTTTGTTTTATTCGTACATTTTCAGATCCTGCAGTAGCCGTGCACTGTTTAAAGTTAATGCTGTATTGTCATTATCAGCCAATTCAGTTCCCTCCACACCTGCTGGGCACTTTGGGGCACGTTGTTACACATGCAAGTTGAGGTGTAAAGAGGGAAACTGTATGCAGGGTTAGACCAGTTCTGAAACCCAAAGCTTTTTTTTTTAGCTAAAAAATAATTTAAAATCTTCTAATGTTGTGTCACACGTACCAACATGTTAACATTTTTTTTTTAAACAGCTGTTACACCTCCTGCTCGATCTGTGCTGTGGGGTGTAACAATTGGTTACTGCACCACATATGATCAGTCACTACTCAGCTCATTTGCATAATATGCATCCAGAGCGAGAGAGCAGAATGAAGATGTGCATCAGCAGTTTTCTTCTAGTCATCTTGCCACCTTACGTCATGCTTAGTTTGATGCAATTACTTTAACTGCTCCATAAGCTCATAACTGCACTATTTATACCCTGACTTGACTTATTTAAAAAATAAAAAAAAATAAAAAAATAGATGAGGCTAACTGTTTATGACATCATTCACATCACATGCTGCTTAAAATTAGGTCATTTGGATGGCAGCATGTGTTACTCCAAAACCTGTATATCACTCAGCATTAATTCACACCTAGGGGCAACTTAGCAGGTCCAATCAGCCTGACTGCATGTTTTTGGACTGTGGGAGGAAACCGGAGTACCCGGAGGAAACCCACGCAGACACGGGGAGAACAGGCAAACTCCACACAGAAATGATCCTGGTCACCCGGCCGGGAATCGAACCCAGGCCCTTCTTGCTGTGAGGCGACAGCGCTACCCACTACGCCACCGTGCCGCCCTGACCTTCTGCCAATTAACCTAATTAGTTCAAAGTTACACTTTGTTACCCTGCTCAACTTTTCTAAATGTGTTGCTGGTGTCAAATTAAAATTTATATTATATTATATTATATATATAAACTTTTTGAGAAAATAATTACCCTCTGCAATCCGGAGCTGGACTCCATACAGTCCCTTGGCCCTCACCAAGGCCGGCAGGCTGGCACTCTTCACCATGTATCCAGCACTAACCCAGCCCTTCATCGAACGGCTCTGAGAAGCCAGCAGCACTGGAATGGCCGCAGGGGCCAGAGGAGCTGCAGGGGCCAGAGGAGCCGCAGGGACCGCAGGGACCAGAGGAGCCGCAGGGGCTTGAAGGTCCAAACTGACCTTTGAGTAGCGACACTCAACCATGAGCCTGAAAGGAAACAGCATTTAATGTAAACTGCACACCACAGATTCAAATGACGTCAATCAGAACACCAGATTAGACGTTTTACAGCTGTTCACAAAATACTAGTATTATGCTACACATTGCATGTCACACGACTTGCAAACAATAACGACATGATTAGAGACCGGCCTGCATTATTTTGATGAAAACAACTGACTTAATTTTTGTATCCAAACATTGAACATCCCGGCTCAAATGACATTTTTATTTTCTAAGTTAAAACATCCTCTACAACTTCAATGTGGCATTTTTAATGCAGACCTTTCTATTCATTTGCAGAGTTTAACATATTGAAAAAACATACAATATAAAACGTGCCATTACTTTTGCAAAGGCCACATTGTTTTATTTTAAATCCAGCAAATAAATGGGCATTAAAAATGTGCAAAAATGGTAATTTTCAGCCTTCTTTCCAAAGCCACAGCCCCAAAACACCTGACTAGTAGCCACAATTAAACCCAAATAAGCCGACTACAACACATTTGTAAAATGATGCATTAAAAGCCAATATAGACCAACATAAGATAAACACTCACAATGCTTCCTCAAAACTACAATGCAGACATTGAACATACAGATTACATACAAGATAAACACAGCTAGCTGGTTTACACCTACAGCTTAGCCAACATTAATGTTAGACTAAGTCAAGTCAAAGTTTATTTATAGCACTTTTTACAACAGACATTATGACAAAGCAGCTTCACAGAACAAATCCGGGTCCGAGCCCCCGTGAGTGTCGCCAATAGACACAGTCCACGGAAAAACTCACTAAGAGCAAGAGGAAGAAACCTTGAGAGGAACCAAGACTCAGAAGGGGAACCCATCCTACATGTGCAGAGCAGTCGGGCAGGTAGGCCATCCAATCATTTCATTTGGAACAAAGGCCTCCAGTTTGTGTTCCCCTTTTCATTTTGCAATTGATGAGATCCAAGAGAGACATTAAAGCCAGTCCTGCGGATTTCTTCTCTCCGCATTTAAATCCAGGCACTATGTTTTTATTATAAAATCTATATCTATCCATCTTCTCTGTGTGTAGGTGAACGTCACTATTCACTAATGGTGAACTGTATATGGACACAGAGGATGCTGAAATCCATGGACTAAGACATGTATGCCTGTGTAGTGTCTCTGAAGCGATGACTGCTGTACGATTACATGAGATAAAACACGAGAAAATAAAAAGTGCAAGTGTGTTCGATAAACAGGAAATGTTAACTTTTTCTACTTAACAAAAACACGGCTGGTCAGGATAAAAAGCACAGAAGCCCGAGTGACTCGCCTGACAGGATGATCCCTGGTGATGATGCCGTACTGCAGGATGTGCTTCCTGATGGGCGACTGCACTTCAGCCAAGTAAACTTTGGTCTCTCCAATTCGCTGATTTACAACAAAAAAGCTCAAATTAGTCTTTAATTATGGAGTTAAAGTCAAACAGACACTTTAACAATCACAGCCAGCAAAACTCACATACGAACGCGTTCCGCACTCCGTCACCGCAAACTTGAAGACGGCAAAATCTTTGTTGGCAATGACGGGTTTACAGCTACTCCTCCCCACCGCCATCAGACGCGTAGGGTTTATGGGCAAACCAGCAACGTTGGAGGGAACCACAAACACAAACTGCCCATCAGCCGAACATACTTAGTAGGGGAGGGAGAGGAAAATAGATAAATCAAACTTAGACAGCTGCTTAGAAACAGAGGGAGGAAGAAATGAAGTACAACTTTCAACAATTGTCAAGTAACTGCATTTTTATTCACTACATTTGTTTGTTTATTCATTTATTAAAAAAATAAATTAATTAAATAAACACACACAAACTCCAGAATATTATATTTACTATATCTACATGTTTCAGGAAATCTGGCTATGATTTTTCATATCATACACCATTCAAGAGAAGCTGAAAATTTCAAACAAATATTTATAATTCTAGATTATTTATATAATTGTGTATAAATTATACTCGTGTATATATGGGATGTAATTGTTCTCATTGTGAGTTTTGAGAATTAAACCCTTCCAGCAGAAGCACCACATTCCTAAAAACCTGGAACTCAAAGATGTGAGAACAGAGAGCTGCATAATCCCTTGAAAAATGTACAAAGTACTTAGTACTTAGTGAACTAAGTAGATTCAGTAGCTCAAGTCAATAATTGTAAACTTTTTCCAGTGTTTTTAAAAATGTGTATTTGCACTTTTAGTAAGGAAACCTGATACATCTCCCCCTCTACATGTAACAAATACTGTGTGGATCACTTTACCATCCATGGGGTAGTAACAGGCGGAAGTCGCCTGGTCTCTGCAGCATCCTCTCCCCAGACACTCAGCAGCTGTAGCCCCAGGACGACCACACGGCAATCTCTGACCACTAGGAAAGCTGCAGCCTACAAGGGATGTGGCGTTATAGACTTTTGGTGTTTTGAATGGATTTTTAGTACATTCATTATTGTAAGTCATTAAAAACAATACAACCATTACTGAAAAAGTCACTGTATCTGGGCTGGTGTACTGTATCAATGGCAGAATCAATCTTATGTTCAATATGACATTAAAACACACATAGATAAACAGTTAAGTATTTAAAATATTTTAAACATATACATATTGAATATTAAAACATTACATAATATTCACTCATTTTTGGCCAAAACACAACAGAAAGTACGTATCGCTGCTGTAGGAACAAAACTTTTTATCTCCAACATGATAAATTTACAGAAAAGAAAAAAAAAAAAACACTTTATTTTGAATGCAAGTTAATGGAACCAGACAAAAAAAAAGTAATTGTGCGCGCATTTCTTTTGGTCCATTCATCATGACATTTACACACAGTATAAAGGACAACAGTCATTGTCACACTGACAAAAACTGAAAAACGATAAAAATGGAGATGCAAGGTTTTGCTCAGACAGCAGCGATATCCACCCATATACTGTACAGTCTTGTAAATAATAGGTTCCTAAAACAGACTCTTTTTTTACAGGTATATGTTCCTGTAAATAGTTCTTCTGGCCCTTTAAATATCTTTTTTAAAGACTATTTTAAATGATGCCAAAATAATCCATTTAAAATCTGAGATGAGGCATTTCAGTGTTACATAAAGCAGCAGTTCTTAAACTACGCTGCAAGATTTTTAGCCCGATTTTAACCCCAAATCTGATCTGGCACTGTGAGAGGAGGAATAAGTCGATCTTCTGCCCTCCGATCGAGCTCTGGAGTGATCAGAGGCCTCCCAAAGTTTTCTACCCGGTTTGATTTTTGCAGGAAAACGTACTGCAGAGCGAGACAGCCAGTGATGTAACTGTGCGAATGATTCAGACAACAGCCAATGAGAGAACTTTGGGGTGAGGGGGTAGGCTGCGTGACAGAAGCTGTTTGCTTAACATCCAAACATGGACCTTTAAAGTATGTAATATGTTTGTTAATGTATGGCTACACAACTCCAACTTCTCCAACTCTCGCTGCATCAGCGTTTATCAACCACATTCATACTCACTGTTATGGTTTGGCTTCTTGAATGTGCATAAAAGCACAAACAGATTTGGGGGTTGGCGGTGGTGGGGGGTTTCCACAAAGCAGGATTTCTGAGTTTGCCAGATAACTAAAGCCCAAGATGAAGACTGTCCAAAGGGAATGTCCTTCAGCACTTTTCCTATTGGACAAGCCTAACCTTGGGCTTACATTATCTGGCTAAACTGAGAAATATTGCTTTAAGAAACACTCCCCCCAGCATCCCCAGGTCCAGGTTAGCTTTGTTTGGATCACATGATAACAGTGATATTTGGGGGGGGGGGCTATAGATTTTTTTTCTTCATATCCAAAACTCAGCATGTGTGCAATACCCTCTCCCTGCCTTCAGCAGGTATTCATACACACCTTAAGGCACCTTTGTGGGGTGCCACAGGCCAGCCCTCCCCACCTCCCACCCCCCCCAAACCTCCTGCACAGCATCATTCACTACACTTAAGGAATTAGAACCAGAACCTTGTGCATTTAAACTCCAACTTCTTTTTATGCAGAAAACCAACAAATCATGCCATTTCACAGGGCGCGTCCCAGCTCTTGCTTACACATGTACAACTTTTGAAATTTCTCAGTGGCCCCTTTAGTTCCCTTCTGCAGCCCCCTGGTCCCCAGTCTGAGAACCACTGATGTCAAGAATCATAACTTGATCATTTAGTTTATAGATTCACACCCAGCAGTAACATCTGAACAGCCTTCTGAATGCAAGTCATGCAGTACTGTAAATCAGCAGAACAGAGCGCCTCACCTCCTTGTTTGTAGTTTGAATGCAGCCTAAGAGACGGGGGCGTCACCGTCGCTTGCACACTGGGTGGTGTAGGAGACAGTGGTTCCCATTGGGAAATGGACAGGGGATCCCCTGGTGTAGGGAACAGTGGATCCAATTGGGGAGGGGACAGTGGTTCCCCTGGTGTGGGGAACAGTGGATCAAATTCGGGAGGGGACAGCGGATCCAACTGGGGAGTGGTCAGTGGTGCCCCTGGTGTAGGGGGCAGTGGATCAGATTGGGGAAGGGACAGTGGTTCCCCTGGGGTAAGGGACAGTAGATCCCAATGGGGCGGGTACAGTAGATCCCAATAGGGAGGGTACAGCGGTAGCCCAGGAGGAGGGGGCATCTTGACTGCGGTGTAGGACAGAACAGGATGGCGTGAGTGTCGCGTTTTTGGGGAGGGCACGTGACTGGAGTTACCGCAGGACACTGTGACGATCTCAAACTGTCCAGCGCTGTTACGATACAGGAACCTCAGAGTGTAGCTGCCCTCCTGCAAACATAACACAAAACACACTTACATATTTCCACCTCCCCAGCATAATATAGATGACTCAGCGCCATGGGTCTGAAAGGATGTGTAGCTATCGAGAAGCCTCACTGAGAAAAGGAGACGGACATCAAACAAAGAAGCTGAACAATGGACTGACAACCCCAGAGTCCAGACCTCAACACCACTGAATGTGTTTGAGTACTTCAGAAAATGATCAACCAGCTTCTAAGACTGAACTTTGGAGGCGTGTCTGCAGATTCTTTGAAGAACTGAAAGAGTCTCCTGAAAAGAATGGAAGCTGGAATAAAAGCAGAGTGTACACCATAGATATACATACCTAGATGCTGTGTTGGGTCCAGTAAGACACGTCAACAGTGCTGCCATTTTTGGGCGGTCAACATCACTGCTGGACAGCATTCAGTACCATTACAGAGTGACAGTTATATATGACAGAAATACACTGTCCAAAATTCCACTATTTGAAGAATATTGCTCTCAGAAAGTGGGATAGGATTATATAACGGAGGGAACGCAGTGATCCACACTCATGTCTGAGTGATGCATATTGTCTGTGTGATGTTTATGTAGATATGGCCGTGTTGTTAATGAGGCACAGAGAACCTGTTGATGTGATTGTTTTTCCTCTGGTTTTATATTAAGCTTATTTCATTTAATAGTCTATTCAGGATCTTAACTTTATGTAGTAGTTATTTATTTACAGTGATGGTTGTTGCTCTGTAGCTCGGTACGTTATAGCATTCCTTAATCCGTGCAGATATAATAGATTAATGTTAGCACCTTCTTACACGAAGCTTCTTATTTGCCAGTAACTTGTTCGAATTTTCCCGTTCCACCTTAAATGGTGCTGCAGTCACTTTCTGGTGCCTGAAGCTGCACCATTTAAGGTGGAACAGGAAAATTCAAACAAGAAGCTGGTGAACAGGAAGCCAACTTTAGCTTCGTCCTTCTTACTGTGTTTTGGGGTTTATTTTATGTTTATGTGTATTAAGATTAGAAGTGATTCACACACTGATGGATTTGCTGATGTGTCTGTGTTTCTCACGCTAAACTCGGTGTAATTCGGTGAAAATCGGTGGAGTAATAAGGAAGTTGTGGCTGATTTAATCCTGAGACTCATCGTCTCTCAATACAAGTGAATCTGTTCACAAGCGGATCTTGACCTCTCCAACATGGCGGACGCATCGCCTCAGATAGAGAACAGACGCAGCCTCTAGGTATGTATATCTATGGTGTACACAATAAAACCTGAAAAATGTAATTATTTTTACTTTCACAGTTGATATTATAATTAATTACTGCTGATAAATGAATAACTTGTACTTAATGGCTGATTTAACTGCCCTGTACTGTGCATAAAATGCATTTAAAAGTTCCCCACCTCAACAGTGACATGACAGCCAGTGAAGTGGACATTGAGAACGTTCCTCCCATTTTCCCTGGTCAGAAAGTAGCCACAGGCCTCTGGGAGCTCCAGGACAGGATACATTCCTGATAAATCTGAGAAAGAATAAGTCACCATAACTCAATATGGCCACATCAGTAAAGCTTCTGTCAACTGATTTGAAAACTTCCATCAGTGCAAATTGAGAGACGTTGGGAGTACGGAGTTCCTTTTCTGTTCCACTAACTCAGTTACATGTAGTAAAGTAAAACTGATAGATTTCTCCTTTGCAAAGGTTTTGAAGAGGAAAGTCATCTATTTTTACCTCAGTGCCATTTCACCCACTTACATTTAGTTCCTAATTCACTTTATTGGGTTTCATTTGATTGTGTTGTGTCTGTTCAGCTCCTGCATTGCTTTATTGTCACTTTGGAGCCTCAGCATTTTATTTTAGACCAAAAGGACCCAGAAAAAGAAGAACAGAATCGTACAAACTTTAGTTCACATGCTGATAGATGCACAACGAAGTTCCACTACAGCTCTAAAAGCTACTCAGTACTTCAGGACGTTTTGGTCTTTGCCTTTTATCTCAAAATAATGAGGTTTATTTGCTAAAAAAAATGCAGACTATTGTCAAAATAAAGACTTGTTTTCTCAAAATATAGACTTCCTATGTCAAATGACTAAGCATCTCAAAATTATGACGCATCTTCTTTAAATATCAACTCCAAATAATTATTTTCTTGTGAGTTGTAAAGATGAAATACCAACATACATATTTTCTTGAAATATTGACGTATTATGTTGAAATCATGACTTTTGTGAAAGTAGCTATTTCACAATGTCATTATTTTGAAGTTGTCAGTTGATATTTCATTAAAGTCATTATTTTGACTGACTAATTCATTATTTTGACATAGGAAGTCTATATCTTCAGAAAATAAGCCATTATTCTGACATAGGTCAACACATTAAGAAAAAAGGTCATCATTATGAGATACTAAGTCAAAAAATGGGCTTCTATGAAGCCCTGCTGGCAACATCCCATATACATCAAAAATATTGCATTGCCACGAATTAGTAAGGCATGGAAACAAGATAATTAAGTCGTGGCCACATCTTAGTAAGCCATGGTTCCCATGGTTCCCCGTTCCCATGCCTTACTAAGTCGCGGCCACGCATTAGGATCTCGTTTCCACTTGTTAATAAGGCGTGGCCACGACTTAGTAAGGCATGGGAACGAGGGAACCATGGCTTACTAAGATGTGGCCACGACTTATCTTGTTCCCATGCCTTACTAAGTCAAGGCCATGCAATATTTTTATTCATACAGCATGTCACCAGCATGGCTCAGTAGGCTTCCACTTGGAGCTATACAAAGGTTTTAAAAAGGTTCTTTTCATAGAACCATATACAACAGATTCTCCAGCATGCCATCATTTAACAATACAACACTAGCCAGCATGGAGCCCAGCTGGTGACATCCCCTATAGATAAAGATAACATGTGGCCACGCTGTATTAACACATGGGAACAAGATCCTAATACATGGTCACAACTTACTAAGCCATGGGAACTAGATCAACCCTTATTAAGCAGTGGTCAGGGCTTAATTATCTCATTCACATGCCTCATGGCGACACATTAGGATCTCGTGGCCACACTTTAGTTTTCTTTATATGGGATGTCTCCAGCAGGGCTCCTTACAGAGGGCCATGTAAGTGAATACACCTGACCGCTTACTGCCCAACTCGGATGAAAAAAGGAGGAATGTCTCAGAACAGCCTGCTTACCAAAGACCTTCATCTCAGAGAGCGAGTCTGAGGGCAAAACCACCTCCATAGCATCTTCATCACAAAACACCAAGTATTTCTGGCCTTCTGCTGACCAGTCCTGCTGCACTGCGCCAGAGATTTGCTCCAAGGCGCCTCCTTCATGTAAGGTGCCTTGGTTTGGGTCGATGTCCTGGCCTGAATTCAGGGGCTCGATCATCACGCTGCCCTGCTTTAGGCCGTGAGCAAGAGCAGAAACAAGAAGGAGAAAGGCTGCGGGTCGCGGTGAGGCCATGCTTGAGGTCAAAGGCCCCAAACTGCATCGTGAACCCGCTTCAGCTCCGGCCGGCCTTTAGTAAGCTTGGGAGTCGATTCCGGAAAGAGTCGATTCTCTGATTCCAGGCATTTTGGAGTTGATTCCACGCCGTGACGTCAGGCTCGTAGATAATAGCGTTTTATGTGCTTAATGTTGTATGTCTTACTTTCCTGGATCTCGTGATGATTCGCCGTGTTTTGCTTTTTTTTTGGAATCGAGAATCGAGAAAATTGTGGTAAGGTATCGATTCATGGAATCGACTCCATTGATAGCCATGACACGGAATCGGAATCGGAGCCGACTCCGTCAGAAGGTGAGGAGGCGTGCGGTGATGAAAAACACCTGGCCGACTGGCCGAATCGGAAAGGTGCATTTACTTACATTTTTACCCTCCTTTCTTTGTTTGTTTGTTTGTTTGTTTGTTTGTTTCTTTCTATCGATCTTTAGAAGGACTAAGATCAAGTAATCGTGCTCTTGGACGGAGACGTTGTCCCATCCTTTCAGGCATCAGGCAGCATATTCATAACAACTTTATGTAATGACCTCCTGTGAAATAGCGTAAATGCTGCAGACGTCTGGTTCCTATCACCACCACTGTGAACAATTATGACCCTAGAAGCTTCTCTAGAACAGAGCATTTCACACCAAACCACTCTGAATTATATATATTCACCGATCAGGCATAACATAATGAGCACCTCCTTGTTTCTACGCTCATTGTCCATTTTATCAGCTCCACTTACTATATAGGTGCACTTTGTAGTTCTACAGTTACAGACTGTAGTCCATCTGTTTCTCTGCATACTTTGTTAGCCCCCTTTTACCCTGTTCTTCAGTGGTCAGGACCCCCATGGACCCTCACAGAGCAGGTCCTATTTGTGTGGTGGATCATTCTCAGCACTGCAGTAACACTGACGTGGTGGTGGTGTGTTAGTGTGTGTTGCGCTGCTGCGAGTGGATCAGACACAGCAGTGATGCTGGAGTTCTTAAACACCTCAGTGTCACTGCTGGACTGAGAAGAGTCCACCAACCAAAAATATCCAGCCAACAGCGTCCTGTGGGCAGCGTCCTGTGACCACTGATGAAGGACTAGAGGATGACCAACACAAACTGTGCAGCAGCAGATGAGCTATCGTCTCTGACTTTACATCTACAAGGTGGACTGACAAGGTAGGAGTGTCTAATAGAGTGACAGTGAGTGGACACAATGTTTAAAAACTCCAGCAGCACTGCTGTGTCTGATCCACTCAGACCAGCGCAACACACACCAACACACCACCACCACGTCAGTGTCACTGCAGTGCTGAGAATGATCCACCACTCAAATAGTACCTGCTCTGTGAGGTCCATGGGGGTCCTGACCACTGAAGAACAGGGTAAAAGGGGGCTAACAAAGTATGCAGAGAAACAGATGGACTACAGTCTGTAACTGTAGAACTACAAAGTGCACCTATATAGTAAGTGGAGCTGATAAAATGGACAATGAGCGTAGAAACAAGAATTGAGGTGGTCATAATGTTATGCCTGATCGGTGTATATATATATATATATATATATATATATAAAAATTGTGTAAGTTGTGTAAATTCCACTCTCCAGTGCACTAGGTGGCAGTATGGCGGGTTGTCGTTTGTTTCTAAGCCCGGAGTGGTTCAGTCAGAGAAAGGAAGGCGCTGTGAATGAGTGGATCTTCTTAATAACGGTGTTTAATGTAATTATTCTTTTTTATTCGTGTTTTAATCTCACCGCTGCTGATTGTTTACTCCGGTGAGTCAGTGGTCTTGTTAGCACCTCTTGTTCAGTGAGGACTGTGATGATAATGAAGGCGCGGATAGTAACTTGCTAACATTATATACACAACAACAACAGCAGCAGAGTTTAAAATGCAGGTTTACAGGTTTACAGATATGTAACTGTGGGGTATTTGACACCGACGTCTTCATTTCAGGTCATTTGATTTCATTCTATACTGCTAGATGCAAAAACGAGGCTGAAATTGTTTTTTTGTTATAATTTTCCGTTCCACCTTAAATGGTGCTGCAGTCATCTGCCCAGTTGCTCCGTTTTTGGTCATTGAACTCTGCATGGTGGTTAAACTTAAAGAGGAATTCCACCGTTTAAAAAAAAAACCTTCATAATTCAGTGTGAGATGTTTGGTTTGGTGTGAAATGGTTCAGATTTCTTTACAGTGGTGGTGATAGGAACCAGGGGTCGCCATGACTACAACACAAATATAGACATTTTATTTACTATCCAAAACCACCAGTGACCCTACATGAGTCTTCTGAGCAATGTTTATGAATGTCAACCCAGACAGCGAGCATATATCGGTCCGCTGGCTTGATAAGGTCAGCACCCCACTGACTGTTTGCCACTGCTGGTCCCCCCTCGGACCACCCAGATTACTGTTTTGCCAGTGGACCACCAGCTCTGCCATCAGTGGCCCGACAATGGTTCACTATCCTCTTGCTGTTAGGGGAATGGTGGAAATACACTGTAGCACAAAGTCATATGTCAAAATTGTCACAAAACAGTGTCTCAGTCATCAGGCAGTGAATTCATGACCATTTCAGGTAGTAACTTTCTGTGAGGGAGCTTTTAGAGGTGGATGTCTGGTTCCTATCACCACCACTGTGAACAATTCTGCCTTGGTATGTTTCTCAGGAACGGAGCGTTTCACACCAAACCACTCTGAATGACTTTATTTACATCTGAACTATTTAGTCATGCGGAAGTTTTTGGTGGAGTTCCCCTTTAAAGTCAGATTTCTCCTCTGCATGGCTGTGCTCCATAGTATTTTGGTGCTTTGTCGGGTTATGGAGGTTTTGTGTCTTTCACCCCCAGGTGAAGATGAGCGCCGAAGCCGCGGACCGAGAGGCTGTGAGCGGCAGCCGGCCCAGCACACCCCCACAGACGTCCTGGTTCGAGTTTCTCCTGGACCCCTCCTTACTGGAGCAGCATTTGCAGAAATCCAACCCAGGTCACTTTTATTACGCTGTATTTCGCTTCGTAAGCTGTAAAGTGGACCAGAGCCTACATCACAAAACAATCACGATAATCCTAAGAAAGTCTTAAGAAAATAATTCTGATAATCGTAAGAGAATATTTGAAAACTTTGTAAGTTTTTTTGAGAACTGCATTTAAGAACATTCTTATGAACTTCTTATATAATAATACTTCGTAAGTCCGGCCCCTGGACAGCTTTACGGCTGCTCACACCTTCCACTTTGGAACTTCAGCATTTTATTATAAACCAAAAGGATCTAAAGAGAGAAGAATAGAACCTCAGTTCCTATACACACTTAAAAAAAGATGGTTCTTCAAGGGTTCTTTAGTAAAAAAAAAAAATGATTCTATGTAGAACCATGAACACTTTGCATGATTAAAGGGTTCTTTGCATCATGAAATGGTTCTTCACATTGATTGAGAACATGTGTATGTTTTTTTTTTTATAGAACCTTTTTAAAAGGATTCTATAAAGCACCAAAAGGGTCCTTCTGTGGTTACGAGCTTAACATCAGAGCAATAACAGAATGTTTTTTTTTTTTTAGGTTTTTATATAGAACCATCTGTAGCACGTTCTCCATTAATCTGAAGAACCCTTTCATGATATAAAGAACCCTTTAACCTCTTATTCTCAGGGTATATTTTGGTTTGTCCATCTGAATTTACAAATTATTCAGTAACTGCATGAAATAAATGTAAACTTTTTTTTAAAAGCTCCCTTCAAATTAACAGAACATGTGTTTTATGATCACACATATTGCTAAATGCTTACAATTTACTGCTGAAAGCCAAAAATCTTAGACGCCCTTTGTATTATTTTATAAAAATAGTTTTTACAGAGCAGATCACTGAAGAGACGCCATCTGTTTATAGTTTATAGCCCAGATTTGTGGAAAAATGGGTCGACTTTCAGTAGAGCTTCTTGTATTATAAGGGTTTAAAATTACATCACCCATCTATTTGACTGGACAGAAGACAGTTACAGCTCTCATATGACCCCCACCTTCAGAATGTAGCTTTTGAAATATGAAAGATATGAAGAATATGACGAAGTGCGTTTTGGAACCACCGGTGGTCTCAAGGAGTTTAAGAGGTTAATCATGCAAAGGGTTCTTTGAGTGTTCATGGTTCTATATAGGACTATTTTATTTACTAAAGAACCCTTGAAGAACCATCGTTTTTCAGTAGTGCGCTGATAGATGCTGAATGCGCTGAGAAGTTTTATCGGGGAACTCCTCTGGCTTCTCTGACATGTGATAGAGGTCAGAATGTCACACAATAGCCTACCTACCAAGGATCTTCCCCTCAGAGTGTGAACCTGAGGAGGAAACTACCTCCATAGCATCACCAAGAGAATGCAGGATTTATGTGGATCTTCTAAGCTGTTCTGCTGGACTCTGTACACTGTGTTTGGCTTTAGTGATTTGCTCTGCTTAAATGTGTCAGTATTACAGTCATCAGTCACTTGTAAGAGCCTCTTTTTACTGCTGCCAAACAGATCCTTCTCCAGTGCAGCTGGTCATCCAGTTCCTGGAACAAGCCTCCAAGCCTTCTGTGAATGAGCAGAACCTTGTCCAGCCACCTGCGGATAACCGGAGGAACCGCACCCTGAAGCTGCTCGCTCTCAAGGTGGCTGCACACCTCAGATGGGACCTGGACGTGCTGGAGAAAGGGTGGGTGCTGGCAGCAGTCGACCAGAGACTGTGTGTTAACAATTCTAATAATTATCATATCTTTATTTGTAGAGCGCAGCTCAAAGGGCTTCATAGAAAGCTGATGATGAAATTATGGGTATAAAGAGCTGCGTTTATAGATGCTTCTTAAAAGTGAGCTCTGAGCTTGACTGTGTCATAAAAGGTGAACTGAGCTCCACAGTTTAGAAGCAGAATAACCGAATGAGTCTCTCCACGTTTTCTGTATTTTGCAGAATGTGTTTGTAGAAGGTCAGTATCTGCAGGTCTAAGATCTCATGCTGGAACATGAACAGACATTCTGTGATGAAAGTGGTGCTTTAAGGTCGTTTGGAGGTTTAAAAACTAGTAGCAACTTGAATTTACAGCTTGCATTTTGTAGGAGTTGTAAGGGTTGTATTGTTTTCTTAGGAATTCCAGTAAGAAGATCATTACAGTGATCAACTCTGCTGTAACAAATTCATGAACAGGTTTCTCTGCGTCGCTCTGAGATAGAAAAGCTCGTTCTGCTCGTTAGTTTGTGCTGATGATGCACGTGATTCATTCACGTGACGTTACTGAGTAGGATGTGCACATGAGGGTCATTTCAGGATGCCGGTTCGTCACATTAATGACAGATTTGAATCACTTACCTAAACGAGTGTGAACCATCGTGTCAGAGCAAAAAATCGGATTTAGCAGCGAGGCTTGTAATGTGAACGTAGCCACTGACGCACAAAGAACACAGAAAAAGATCGGATTTGGGCCTCTTTTACCTGCTGTGTGAACAAAGCCAAAGTGGCTCAGGTCAGATTTGAAAAGATCAGATCTGCGTGTCCACACAGCCCTGAAAACGTCAGATCTGAGTCACATTAGGGCAAAAAATCAGATTTGTGCCACTTCAACCTGGTAATGTGAACAAAGCCTTCTGGTTCATAAGTCAGTGAACCAAAAAAAACAAGAAGGTTTAGATTTTCCATGCTATGGGCCCTTTAATGTCTGATAATAACTAGTAACCACTAAATAGGAATGCAGAGCCCGTTCCTGCTTTAGATTAAGTGATTGTTTTAGCTTTGGAAAGCTGAAGCTAAAGTCTGCTGGCCATGGCCTTATGCTACTGGGCATAAGGCCAAGTTGTCCTGTCATATTGTTTTTGTTAATGTGTTCTGTCTGTCTGATTGTGCCTTCAGTTTGACCATTCCAGTGCTGAACATGTTACTGAACGAGCTGCTGTGTGTCAGTAAAGTCCCTCCTGGAGTGAAACATGTGGACTTGGATCTGTCCACCCTTCCTCCCACCACTGCCATGGCAGTTCTGATCTATAACCGCTGGTGAGTATGACAGCCTGGAGAAAAGAGATTAAATTCATTGTAGCTTTCTCGTTAATCCAGCTGCACTACAGTGGAAATAAGCCCTTGGATTTTTTGTGTTATCCCTGAATTTTTCTGTTTTTATATTGTGGTTTAACCTTTTATCACCCAGTAATGTCCATATCTGACATTTCCTTTGGTCCATATTATCTCTGAGCTTGTCTGAGCAATTGTTCAAGCTGTGTGGCTAAAAAGTGATTTTTTTTTTTTAAGACAATTTATTGTGTTGCTCTGGTCTGCTGGTCACAGGGGTCTACTGATCTTTATTAGGACAATATAAAGTCCATGAAAGTATGAAAATTAAATGTAATACAAAAAAATCCACTTTACAAATTTAATACCATATTAAATTAAGATGTTCAGCAGGAAAGGGTTAAGATGAGAATAGTGCTGTTTGGTTTTGTTCACTATACAGTACCACTCATTATATTCTGGGAGTAGACAAATATTAAACTATGCTGTAAGTTTGTCATTTACCTTTAGGTGTTTTTGTACATAACCATTTTTTGCCTGTCCTGTTCAAAGGGCCATCCGTACTATAGTGCTGAGCAGCTTTCCTGAGAAACAGGCGAAACCCGGACCTCACCAGCTCAACATGTGCGTATCTCTGACCTCACAGTTGGCTCTGATGTATACAGCCCACTCAGTTATGAAGGGCAGTTTCTCACCCATTGACTAAGTAAATTTCATGTTTAGTCTAGGAGTTTTATCTGTTTAAAAGCTGATACAGATGTTTTGGTCTACTCTCAGTTTAACTTCCTGTTATATTGTTTTTCTTCAGGATTAATCTGGTTCAGCAGGAGAAGGAACTGACTGAGAACATACTGACTGTGGTAAGACACCAAACACGAACCTTGTCTGTGCACTTTTGCAGATATGTAAAGGGGAATTCCACACTTTTTTCAAAATTTCTGCCTAATTTGATTGCTGAAGTGGTAGACAGACAGACAGACAGACAGACAGACAGACAGACAGATAGATAGACAGATAGGCAGACGGAGAGACAGATAGGCAGACAGAGAGATAGACAGAGAGATAGACAGAATGGCAGACAGAATGGCAGACAGAATGGCAGACAGACAGAGAGACAGATAGATAGGCAGACAGAGAGACAGACAGATAGGCAGGCAGGCAGGCAGACAGATAGAGAGAGACAGAGATAGAGAGAGAGACAGATAGGCAGACAGACGGAGAGACAGATAGGCAGACAGACGGAGAGACAGATAGGCAGACAGACGGAGAGACAGATAGGCAGACAGACGGAGAGACAGATAGGCAGACAGACAGAGGCAGACAGAGATAGACAGATAGGCAGACAGACAGAGAGACAGATAGATAGGCAGGCAGGCAGGCAGACAGATAGAGAGAGACAGAGATAGAGAGATAGACAGATAGGCAGACAGACGGAGAGACAGATAGGCAGACAGACGGAGAGACAGATAGGCAGACAGACGGAGAGACAGATAGGCAGACAGACGGAGAGACAGATAGGCAGACAGACAGAGGCAGACAGAGATAGACAGATAGGCAGACAGACAGAGAGACAGATAGATAGGCAGACAGAGATAGACAGATAGACAGACAGTGAGAGATAGACAGAGAGACAGATAGAAAGACAGAGAGAGATAGACAGAGAGACAGATAGACAGACAGAGAGAGATAGACAGAGAGACAGATAGACAGACAGAGAGAGATAGACAGAGAGACATATAGACAGACAGAGAGATAGACAGAGAGACAGATAGACAGACAGAGAGAGATAGACAGAGAGACAGATAGACAGACAGAGAGAGATAGACAGAGAGACAGATAGACAGAGAGACAGATAGATAGGCAGACAGATAGTCCTCAGCTTTTGCCATTGAGACATGTTACGTAGTTGAACTCTGTCCCTGAACATCTGTCTGAACTCTTCCCTGTTCCCCAGCTGAAGGAGCAGGCCACAGATTCCATAATGGTGCTCGAGGGAGCTCTGAACATTAAGAAGGATTTTTACATCCACACACTGCACACTTTGGACCTGCTGGCGGCTGATCCCAGCACAGCCAACGGGGAGACGGAGTCCTCCACGGCCGGCCTCCGGATTAGTGCCGACGAGCTGCACTGTCAGGTAGGAAATCGCCTACGAATCATGTTTGACCTGAGAGAGACGGAGCAAATGGCACGTACACAGATATCAGCGTTTCTTCTTTAGAGAGATTATGAGCTGATTGGCTGAGAGGCGTATCAACCATTATTTTGCAAACTGTCAATCGAGAGTACTTGCCACTGTTTTGAGTTTGATAAAGAAAATCACGATGACTCTCTCTGTGTTACAGGTGCGTTACGATTTAGGAGGAATTTACTTTCAGCAGGGCTGTTCAGACCCTTCAGCTTATGAGAAGGCCCAAGAGCACTTCCGCAAAACAAGGGAACTGCTAACAAAGGTAACTGGAAAAAATTATACTCTGTGCCTGCATAGTGAGTGTAAGATATATATATATATATATATATATATATATATATATATACACACACATTGATGAGCCAAAACATTATGGCCTATGGAGCAGTTGGTCCTCCACGTGCCCCCAAAACACTGAGACCCTCCGAAGCATGGACTCTACACGACCTCTGAAGGCATAAGCAGCAGATCCTTTAAGTTCTGCAGGTTGCGTTGTTGAGCTGTTTTGCATCCTACTTGGTGATCGGGCTGAGATCTGGGGAATTTGGATGCCAAAGCAGCGATTTCAACTCTTTATCTTGTTCCTCAAACCATTGCTGGACAATGTGTGCAGTATAGTAGGTCAGTTCCTGCTGAAAGAGGCCGCTGCCGTCTACAGTTGCGTTCAGTGACACCCACATGATTGCCAGACCCAGGGTTTCCCAGCTGCCTACAACATCACACTCTCTCCACGTGGTTTGTTCCTCTTCACACCACTGTCAGGAGGTACTCACCGCTGCTGACCAGGAGCACCCCACAAGTTTCGGAGATGCTCCAAGCCAGTCATCTTACAGTTAGGCCATTGTTGAAGTCACCTGCCCGTTTCTACAACCGTTGTTAGGAGATAAACAGCATTATTTACTTCATCCCTAAGTGGTCATAATGTTTTTGTTCATCAGTGTTTGTCGCTGTTTGTATTTTGAAGCTTAATTTTTTTAGTTCTGTTCTCACTTTTCTCATTTTTATTTTTATTAGTTGTTACAGCTGCCATTATAATGAAGATAATAAACAAAACAGAGATGTTCAAATAAAACCATAGCACTTTCTGAAACATTTATACACATATGTTTCGATTGCTTCTGGGTTTCAATCCCTCAGATCACGTAGGTACAGGTCAATTTTGATAACTAAACTGGTTAATTGTGGAACTTAGGCTAGATATGGAAGCTTAGGCCAAAAATAGGACATAGGGCCCTGAAAGGCTATTTTACAAGATGCAATATTGCTGATCTTAGTTAGATTTGATACAATGCTTGCTAAGAAGTCTTTTCAGTATTCAGGATCGCATGAAGGGAGTAGACTGCGTGTGAAGGGGTGTGACTAATCCTGTTAGTTTTAGTAAGAAAATAAAGACATGGCTGCAAGATATAGTATCTTTTTTTAATTTTTACCTTCTTAACTATTTGGGTGTGTGTGTTAAATGTATTGTGTGCTGGTTGGTAATGTACATCGCAATGTTTTTGGTGTTATACATCAATAACCACGATAGAAATGAGCTTTTTTTGTCCAATAAATGAAGTAAATGTATTTTTGCAGCTGAGCTCGGACCCGTTACACTGTCACCTGGATGAGAAGCGGCTGGCTGGCTACTGGAGCGCGTGCAGGGCCTTGACTGGGTCATCAGACCCCAGCGACAGTCAGCTCACCCCCTACGGCCTCATCAACAATTTAATCAAGACTCAGAACTACCAGGTTAGGCTCGTTTTCTGGAGGTGGAGTATTGAAAGGGGCTGTCATTGATCTTTTAAACTGAATGATGAATGTGGATCAGGCTGCACTCGGCTCATCCTACTTCGACATTGGAATTTAAAGTGATCATAACATGGAAAACTGAATTGAAGAGTTTGATATAGTATGTCAGCATGTTTTTGTGTTTTGAATTCACTGTTTTCATGATGACCTACAGCAGTTTAGCCCCACCTGTTCACTCTGAAGTTATAAGCAGTGTGCATAAGGAGTATACATGACAATCAGAATGCATTTACATACACCGATCAGCCATAACATTATGACCGCCTCCTTGTTTCTACGCTCATTGTCCATTTTATCAGCTCCACTTACTATATAGGTGCACTTTGTAGTTCTACAGTTACAGACTGTAGTCCATCTGTTTCTCTGATACTTTGTTACTCTGTTCTTCAATGGTCAGGACCCCCCACAGGACCCCCACAGAGCAGGTGCTATTTGGGTGGTGGGTCATTCTCAGCACTGCAGTAACACTGACGTGGTGGTGGTGTGTTAGTGTGTGTTGTGCTGGTCTGAGTGGATCAGACACAGCAGTGCTGCTGGAGTTTTTAACAAAGTATCAGAGAAACAGATGGACTACAGTCTGTAACTGTAGAATTACAAAGTGCACCTATATAGTAAGTGGAGCTGATAAAATGGGCAATGAGAGTAGAAACAAGGAGGTGGTCATAATGTTGTGCCTGATCGGTGCATATCAGTTTTAAAGGCACAGTAACAAAAAAGCCTAATTCTAAAGGAATAAAGGGATGTAAGGAATGGAAAATGGTCATGTAACAATGAATTATGACTGTTCTTGGTACATAAGTCCACCCAAATGTTATAAGTAAGCAAAATATACAAATCCAGTTGCAAAGAACTTGGGATAGTAGGTAAAATGCTAGTAAAGACAGAGCAGTGATTTGCATATAAATCAGAGCAGTCTAAAAACTGTTTTATCCTATCAATGTTGTTTTTTTGTTTTTTTTTAAATGAAAATATACACTAATACTAAAAGTGATGAGTGTTGCCTGCAACATGTTCCACAAAAGCTGTGACAAGTCAGAAGCCAGGGTGTGCCATGGTATGGGGTGGACATTAGTGCCCATGGCAGGCTAACCTGCCAAACTCTGTAAAGCACCATTAACACTGAAAGATACACACATGCTGCCATTTAGATGCCGTCTTTTTTAGAGTCATTCATCTTTATTTTATCATGACAACACCGAGCCACATTCTGCACGTTAGAGCAGCATGGCTGCGTAATTACAGTAAGAGTGCTAGACTGACCTGCCTGCAGTCCAGAACTGTCCCCTATTGAAAACGTGTGTTGCAGAATACTAGTATGACTGCTCAGCGAAGACTAATGATCGAAGAATGGTGAACATTTCCTCTTTCAAAACCGGATCATTTTGTGTCTTCAGTCCCCAGATGTTTAAATGCTGTTAAAAGGAAAGGTGATGAATCACAGTGGTGAACATGCTTCCAACTTGAATTTGAACATTAATTTTTCTTTTACCTTAAAGGTAGTTTTGCACTGGAGCAGTGAGGCAGTAGTAGAACAGCAGCATCAGCCTGAATGTATTTTGTATTTTTGATTGACTGATTGATTACATTGGAGTAAAGGAAAAATGGTTAAAATTTGTTTTTTGACCAAATTACAGCTTTCATTTTTTTTTAGCTGTTTTATTTAGTTTGCGCCAGTCTCAACTCTGTGTTAAATGTTCCTCTGTTTTTATGGCTGCAGGGTTTGATCGATGCCTTCATCAAAGACAACGTCACACACAGCCTGCCAAACAATTTCAGACACTCAGTTCAGCTGGAGCTCCTGCATAGAGTTCAACAAGGGTGAGATACAGCAGTTACTGTTCGCCTGTTCAAGTGTTTGATCAGCGAAGATGTGTTTGGTGTCCAGTTTTAGTTTAGCATGGAGCTGCAAGGCTGACGTGTAACTCACAAACACTAGATGTCAATAGTCGCGCAAATATTTTCTGTAAATACATCCCCAAAACTTCTCAAGGCCCACTCAAACTGCAATCAGGTCTGCATTAGGATCATGCAGACTTCTTGATATGTGGTCAGTATGACTGACTGTGAGCTATGAAAGTAAACAAAACCTCATGGTGTAGCTGGAAAACCACTTCAGATAACAGTCTACATCACAAAGACATAGGAACGCCACAGATTTCTTTTTATAAATAACTTTTATGTTAAATTTTCTAAATAAAGATATGTTTTATAAATAGGAACAACAGAAAACACAAACGCCCATGTGACAGCATGACGTGTGCACAAAGTGGAGTTAAAATTCACCTGTATTATAGGCTACATTCACATTACCAGGCTGAAGTGGCACAAATCTGATTTTTTGCCCTAATGTGACTCAGATCTGATGTTTTCAGGGCTGTGTGGACACAAATCTGATCCTTTCAAATCCGACCTTAGTCACTTTCATATATGGTCCTAGATCGGATACGTATCTGATTCGTGGCCATGCGACCTTAATGTGAAGCTCAGATCGGAATTCATGTGCTTTTTTTCCACTGCGCGTGCGCCATCATTCAATGTTACCATGGCAACAGCGCCAAACAGAAGTTAAAGCCTGTAAACGGTGGAAAAGCAGCTCATCTCACCTTTTTCTCCTTCGTCTCGCTCTAATAATGAAGCTGAGAGCTGATCAGAGTTAATGATCTTCTCAGCGAAGCTCGTTCTGCTCGTTAGTTTGTGCTGATGATGAACGTGATTCATTCACGTGACGTTACTGAGTAGGATGAGCTCATGAGGGTCATTTCAGGACGCCGGTTCGTCACATTAATGACAGATTTGAGTCACTTACCTAAACGAGTGTGAACCGTCCTGTCAGGGAGATCGGATTTGAGCAAAAAATCGGATTTGAGCAGTGAGGCTTGTAATGTGAACAAAGCTATAGTTGTTACTAGTTTGTTACTATAGCTATAAGTGTCTGCAACAGTTTTCAGCTATACAGTGAAGTTTCTCTCATTTTTATAGCTCGCAGTGAGTCGTACTGCGTCCACACAGAAAAGTGACCTTAGTGAAGACCTGGATATGGTTTGAGCAAGTTGAGTGATGTTTTGTGGTTGTATTTAGGGAAAAGATTTGGGTGACTATTGACTTCTAGTGTTTGTTAGCAATATTTCCCTCAGTTTTAAGATACAGAAACAACATTTGGACGCCTCGTCTTGGCTGATCACCTACATCTGGGGTAATCTGGAAAACTGTTTTATTTTGTTTACGCCAAATTATTCTTTTTGCACAATCCTCTACATACAGCGATGTGTGTTTGTAACAGGGACAGGGCTCTGGAGGAGGTCTGCCACAAGCTGTGCATGTGTAATGCGGTGCGCGATGCTCTGGAGGGTCAGGTGCTCAGCGTTCGCTTCCAGCAGCTTCTGCTCAAGCCCAGCAAACGCACCATCAGCTTCCTGCTGGAGGTATAAACTGTACATTTTCATCATGTAAACAAGAGAACGCCTCACTTACTGACAAATGTTTCAGGGTTATTTGTTGACAGGAAACTGTTTTCTTAATAATGAAATCTTTCTGTTGTCTTCTTGTAGGTGTGTACGAAGTCTTTAGATAAGGAGCATACTTCAGAGACATCCAAAAGGAAAATGGCTCTTTTCCTCAAGTGGGTACTCCTTATTTTGAATCATTTTTTTATCGTTTTTATCATAAAGCCTTGCTACTAGGTTAATTAAGAAGATATTAAGAAGAATGTCTTTACAAAGAGCTTGTTTACAGAAATGGTCAGATGTATTGATACATTAAATGCATGTTCTGGAGGTCTTTTTTTCTCGCAGACTTTATTATTAATCCAGATTCATCTAATCTGGTGCCTGTTTCACAGAGCAACGTTTCTCAGTAAGCTGGGGAATTTGAACTTAAAAGGGGAATTCCACCCATTATTCAAAATTTAGAGATATAAACAAAGTCTTTATCATGCAGTGGTTTGATGCAAAATGTCGCACTGTAGAGAAACTTACCAGCTCTTACTTTACAGTGGTGGTGATAGGAACCAGGGGTCGCCATGACTACAACACAAATATAGACATTTTATTTACCATCCAGAACCACCAGTGAACCTACACGAGTCTTCTGAGCTTATATGGAATGTTGATGATGGTAAAATAGTGGATAATCTGAAATAGTAAGTTTTCTTTGGGAACGATCTTGCCTCACAGTGTACCCCTCCAAAAATGTGTAATGCCAAAACCTCTCAAAGCTGTTGTAAAGCAACCATTTCATGTAATAGGTTTCTGTGAGAAAGCTTTTAGAGGCGTTAAAAACTTCAGATGTCTGGTTCCTATCACCACCGCTGTAAACAATTTAACTGACTCAAGAACGGACTTAACAGTATAGTATATATTGCACAATATATGAATGGCTGCTATATTATGTGTCAATACATGGGAAACTCGCAGCAGCACACTCACCATATTTTAGCCTGTTTTTATTTTCTACACTCAGTAACAATATTTCTGTCAGGTTTAACAACAAAAGTCCTACATAGTGTAGTTTTAATGTTAGTTTTCCCTGCCAGCCGGTGGCAGTACCGTCGTTTTAATAGTAGATGACAGGAAAATAAGAATGTTGTCTTTTAACCTTTTCAACTCTTTGAGACCACCAAGGGTTCTTTAGTAAAGAAAATAGTCCTATATAGAACCATGAACACTCAAAGAACCCTTTGCATGATTAACTTCTTAAACTCCTTGAGACCACCGGTGGTTCCAAAACGCACTTCGTCATATTCTTCATAACTGTCATATTTCATAAGCTACATTCTGAAGGTGGGGATCGTATGAGAGCTGTAACTGTCTTCTTTCCAGTCAAATAGATGGGTGATGTAATTTTAAACCCTTATAATTAAAGAAGCTGAGCTCAATTTTTTTTGTCTACTGAAAGTCGACCCATTTTTCCACAAATCTGGGCTATAAACTATAAACAGATGGCGTCTCTTCAGTGATCTGCTCTGTAAAAATTATTTTTATAAAATAATACGAAGAGCGTCTAAGATTTTTTGCTTTCAGCAGTAAATTGTAAGCATATAGCAATATGTGTGATCATAAAACACATGTTCTGTTAATTTGAGGGGAACTTTTACAAAAAATAAATAAATAAAATAAAAATGTACATTTATTTCATGCAGTTACTAATAATTTGCTTTACGATTTGGTCATGAAAATTCAGATGGACAAACCAAAATATACCCTGGAGAATAAGAGGTTAAATGATATTAAGTGATGAATCATGCGAGGGGAAAAATGCACATTTTGATTTCAGGCTGACTTTAAAATGCAAACAAAGTACAATTATTGGTTATTGGTGTCTGTATCAGCCAAAACGAGGTGTTATCGTTATCAGCTCTGACATTTCCTGTTGGTGCATCCGTACTGAGGAAACTGCTTCATAGCAACTCTTTAGATCTTCAGAAAGATCTCAGTATTAAAGTCTGTTGCATTACACTGAACCGATGTAAACAGTGTAGTTTGACCCGAGAATGTTTGTGTACAGGAACTTGTGTGAGAGGCTGGAGGAAGTTCCTCTGGCCTACATGGTGTCATCCCATAAGCTCTTCATGGAGCTGCTGACAGACGAGGAGAAGAAGACCCTGTTAGACCAGATGAGGAAAAGATCTGCAACAGTCAACCTCAGCGCCAAGCCACTCCCCTCCTTCTACGACATCCCTGGCAAGTTCTGCACACTTAAAAAGATGGTTCTTTTGCAAAGAAAACGGTTCTGTGTAGCAAAATGAACACTCAAAGAACCCTTTGCATGAATAAAGGGTTCTTTGCATCATGAAAGCATTCTTCAGATTGACGGAGAGTGTGTTTTGTATGGTTCTATATAGAACCTTTTTGAAAAGGGTTCTGTATAGCACTAAAAAGGGTTCTTCTATCGTTACAAGCTGGACATCGTAACAACAGAGGAACCCTTTTAGGTGCTATATTGAACGCTTTTAAAAAAGGCTCTATATAGAACCATCCATGGCACGTTGTCCATCAATCTGAAGAACACTTTCATGGTTCAAAGACCTATTTAGTCATGCAGAAGGTTCTTTGAGTGTTCATGGCTCCATATAGAACCATTTTCTTTACTAAAGAACCTTTGAAGAACCATCTTTTTAAGAGTGTAGAGTTATGTGTACTTAAAACTATTGGATGAGACCTGATTATGCTTGTTATTGATGCAGTTTTTATACTGATTTCAGAGCATTTTTAGGACCTTTGAGAGGTTTGTGTCCTGATGAATTGTTATACTTGCACAGCGGATTGAAGTTTGTTTGTTTTGTGCCCGTTTAATAGCCTCTGCCAGTGTAAATATCGGTCAGCTGGAGCAGCAGCTGATTCTTTCATTGGATGCACGACAGATCAGACAGATCCTCATTGAGCTCCACGGCATGGCCGAGAGGTCCTTCTGGAGGGTCAACAGCAAGGTAGCGTCATAATTTAACATCTGTTCTCCATCTGTAACAAAGGTTCCGTTGCTCTCGTCCAGAAGAGTTCTTGAAGTTGTCCATTGAAAGTAAGGATGCAGTACTCATAAATGTTTATGGGCGATTCTAATTTCTCTGCAGCCAAACTGGCTGATATACACACACGTATGTAAAAGAACACCCCTGGTCAGTTTACGCTGTAGTTGATTTCTAAGTGAAAATAAGTTAAGCCATCCTCTACAGAGAACACACTTAAACATGACATTTTTCTGCAAGTTTCACTGCACAGTTTCTATTTATTTGCCAAATATAACATAAAACAAAACAGATTATTAATCTTTATACATGCCTCATTTTATGTTTGTTTGTTTGCTTATATATAACCAAGGAGCCACATCATATTACTAGTGCTTTTTACTAGCCTAAGTCACAACATTAATAACATTATTTGCTTTAATAAGCCAGAACGACATTTTAAACCATGTGTGGTTTTGGGGTCTGTGGGACCCATTTTCATTGTTTACCAAAATAAAAAAATTATGCAATTTATTCTTATTTCAACCTCAGATTCCTTGTCCTTTGCTCATTTTCTGTGAAGAACATATAAAATAACACATTTTCAGTGACTACGGTTAGGGTTACACCCCCTACACATTTATATTACACATGGACAGGCTGCTGACTGGCTACAGCTGCTAAAGGAGAACCCTACGCTGGAGACATGTGATATTTTAAACATCTGGTATTTTTACATACATTTTTATGGCTGTATTGATTTAAAAAAAGAATAATGTGGTGGGTCCACCGAACCACTGAGTAACAAACACATCACCACCTTATTGCCTATTTACATAACATAAATGAAATAAAGTAATACGTTGAAAGTAAGAGGCGGCTGACTGTTCAGCACAATGAGTCGTATAATTATGCTATGACATTTTGGTTCAGTTGAAGCAGCGTTCAGATACGGTGTGAGTGCTCTTGCCTTTCTAATGTGATTTACTTTATGAAATTGCATCACAGTTCTGCCAAAATAAACAATATTTTGTAAGAGAGGAGTATTTAGATGCTTTTAAGTATGCAGAAGCAGATTTATGATGGAAGTGACTGAACCATCCATAAGATTGTTTTGTAAATCCTGCATTTTTAGTTAGAAGACACTTTTATCCAGAGATTGGCTTTTCTCTGCCACACTTTACACTAAACTGCTCTATTATTTTTTCCTGTTTGTTTTACCTGCAGTGGGAAGTTCCATCAGACTACATAAACGTCATACTCGCCATTAAGGACAACCTCACACGGGACCTTGTGTACATTCTTATGGCGAAGGGTCTTCACTGTGTAAACATCAAGGTCTGTATTCATGTCCACTTAAACGTGGATCATAATATTTAAAGACTATTCTGGGGGTTTGGTTGGATTGATCCCACACTAACAGCAGGTGTAAAACACTTAAGTACGTATTCAGACTGATGGTTTGTGGATTTGCAGGACTTTGTACACGGGCGGCAGCTGTTCACAGCTTGCCTGGAGCTGGTGACTGAGTTCTCCCCGAAACTGAGGCAGGTCATGCTGAACGAGATGCTGCTGCTGGAGGTGCGAGCCCACGAGGCCGGGGCCGCCGAGGGCAACACAGAGAGACCCCCTCCTGACCTGGTCAGCAGAGTCCGCGGCTACCTGGAGATGAGGATCCATGGTAAGAATAGCCCTGCTACCACACACTCCAGTGCATTCTTCTCATGCCTGGTCCAGCTCCATGTTTAGGTCCCATGTTATCTCAAAATCAGTGTTCTACTGATGAAGATATGACGATAATAGTAGATAATTCACTGAAATGTTTGGTAAACATGACCATCACCAAGTTTTGACTGAGTTTTCTTTGAATTCTCTCTGTCATAATATTCATCTGCTTTTGGGAGTCCAATGTTACAAAATGTTCTTCCACACATTGCGTGCAATTACACATTTTCGCCAGAGAGGTCTCCAAATCCCCAAAACTTACATAGTGTAGCTTTGAGCTACCGCAAACTAATGTTCAAGGTGTGCTAATGTGACGTGGGTTAGGTGATATGGAAAAAATATCACATCACAATATTTAAAGACATATCGCAATATGTATCATGATATCTTGACACAGACATGAAGCACTTTCAGCGATTTGAAAACTGATTATTTTAATTCAGTGTTTTACATACTGCACTGCATTAAATCTAATGAATTGTGCTCTCTTTGTAATGGATCATGCAGTCGGTCAGTGTTCTTTAAGCACTGACGATATCCACCATATGCTTAGAAAAGCATATTGTTTATTGAAATAACAACATTTATCACTGTAACGATATCATTTCATCATACTGCCCACCTCTAGTGAGACCTTCTGCCTTAGACATTACACAGAAAGATGTGTGGTTACTGATTAATGTACCCTAGCTAGGGCTAAATGATTTGGGGAAAATAACTGCAATTTTTCTGACCAGTGTTATGATAGCAAAAGTGAATATTCTATATAAATTGTAATTGCTTATAAATATAGACTTGCACACTTAATGTGGTGTGCCAGACTGCCAGTTTATGGGCTCTGTGTTAAGACAAATTTCCCCACTTAAAATTTGACATTAAATCATGTAGGTTACAAGTAAAATTGCAGCTTTCACGGTATGAAAATTGCACTCTTTCAATATAAAAATTAATAATTGTTCAGGCCTTAGCAATCGGAATGTCCTGTAATTAGTCCTGAGGATGGTTTGTACAAATTATATCAAAATATATCACCAGACTTGCTCAGGAATATGATTACTGTGTACGGACAAACTCTACGAGTATTTCTGAACCTCTGTTTCAGATATCCCGCTCAGGCAGGTCGTCGGGGAGGAGTGTGTGGCCTTCATGTTGAACTGGAGAGAAAATGAATATCTCACACTGCAGGTGCCCACAGCGCTGGTGAATAACAACCCTTACATTAAGGTAAAGTTGACATGCCTAATTCCACATGTTTTCCCAGCTGTGGTTGGAAATAAGGAAGAGTGGAGTACATTTGGCCCTGTCACAGTTATTCCATCATCAGAACTGTAATATAATCAGGATAACTACATAAGCAGAGTGTTAATTGGGTGGATTTAGGCAAATAAACATAAGTGAAAAAGAGTAAATGCCTTAATTGACACCTCATGTTCTCATGAAAACAAGTTGCTATGTTCACATTACAAGCCTCATCGCTCAATTCACATTTTTTGGTCAGATCTGATCTTTAACTGATGGTTTTCTTCATATGTGACTCAGATGTGTTGTGTGTGGCAGTGTGAACAGCAAAAACACATTGAATCTGACATTTTCAATTCTGATTTGGAACACTGCAGTGACACTGACGTGGTGGTGGTGTGTTAGTGTGTGTTGTGCTGGTCTGAGTAGATAAGACACAGCAGTGCTGCTGGAGTTTTTAAACACCTCAGTGTCACTGCTGGACTGAGAATAGTCCACCAACCAAAAACATCCAGCCAACAGCGTCCTGTGGGCAGCGTCCTGTGACCACTGATGAAGGACTAGAGGATGACTGACACAAACTGTGCAGCAGCAGATGAGCTATCGTAAGTAAGTAAGTAAGTAAAGTTTATTTATATAGCGCTTTTTACAACAGGTGTTGTCACAAAGCAGCTTTACAAGGAAATGAGCATTACAAAAAGAAATCCGGGTCCGAGCCCCCATGAGCGTCACCAGTGGCGACAGTGGCAAGGAAAAACTCCCTAACAGAAACAGGAAGAAACCTTGAGAGGAACCAGGACTCAGAAGGGGAACCCATCCTCCTCTGGTCGACACCGGATAGTAAACATTGTTAGTATAAAGATTATAGTATAGGTTTGCACGGTGAGCAGTGGCACCCGATCAAGGCAGCAGAGGCAGCAGCATCAGCAGCAGCAGTCCCGAACATTAACAGGAAGACTATTCCAAAGCTGGGGGGCTTTGTATGAGAAAGCTCTCCCCCCTGACGTAACTTTATTAATTCTAGGTACTAAAAGTAAGCCAGCACCTTGTGATCTAAGTAGGCGGGATGGTTCATAGTGAGAGAGAAGTTCACTCAGGTACAGCGGGGCGAGTCCGTTTAGTGCTTTATAAGTCAGCAAGAGAATTTTATAATCAATCCGAAATTTTACTGGCAACCAGTGTAAGGCTGATAAAACTGGGCTGATATGGTCAAACTTTCTGGTTCTTGTAAGAACTCTGGCTGCAGCGTTCTGGACTAGCTGAAGCTTGTTAACGCTTTTGCTGGGACATCCAGCCAGCAGGGCGTTACAGTAATCTAGCCTTGAAGTAATAAATGCATGAACTAACTTTTCTGCATCCTGTAGAGATAATGCATTTCTCAATTTAGCAATATTGCGGAGATGCAGGAAGGCTGTTCTAGTAATATTAGTTATGTGTGCGTCGAAGGACAGATCAGGGTCTATAATGACACCAAGGTTTTTTACATATGAGCTTGACGCAACTGAGAAATTGTTAAGTTTAAGTGTTAAATTAGACAGTTTGTTTCTAGCTCTGACTTTACATCTACAAGGTGGACTGACAAGGTAGGAGTGTCTAATAGAGTGGACAGTGAGTGGACACAGTGTTTAAACTCCAGCAGCACTGCTGTGTCTGATCCACTCAGACCAGCACAACACACACTAACACACCACCACCACGTCAATGTCACTGCAGTGCTGAGAATGATCCACCACTCAAATAACAACTGCTCTGTGGGGGTCCTGTGGGGGTCCTGAGCATTGAAGAACAGAGTAACAAAGTATGTAGAGAAACAGATGGACTACAGTCTGTAAAGTGCTCCTATATGGTCAGTGGAGCTGATAAAATGGACGATGAGTGTAGATACATGGGTTTTAATGTTATTGCTGACCGGTGTTTGTTATGCTGTGTAGCTGGGGCAGCTGCTGGCCGCCACCTGTAAGGAGCTGCCAGGTCCTAAAGAGAGCCGGCGCGCGGCTAAAGAGCTGTGGGAGGCGGTAGTGCAGATCTGCTCCGTGTCCAGCCAGCACAAACGGACCAACGACGGGCGGGTCAGCCTCATCAAACAGAGAGACTCCTCGCTCGGCATCCTGCCCAGGTGAGGGAGCACAGCAGACACACAGTGCTGCTCCTAAAGCTTTTCTGGATGTTATTTTTTAATACAAACATTTTTTCACATTCATTTTTATTTCGTTTGAGGACGACTGTATCACGCTTGTAAAGATTTGACACAGAACTACTTTGGGAATAATACAAACACCTGCACATTTTGTATCTCTGTGTCACTGAGGGCGGAGAATAAGAAGTTGTTACTTCTAAAATGGCAGCTTTTCAAACCTTTAATGCAAATTCGTGTAAAATGTTATGTAAAATAAGTCATTTTGGACTGTTTCTATTGGATTGTTCATCACTAAATATCTCAGAGTGTAAGAGACAGTTTGTATTTTTAAATGAAATATAAAAAAAAGACAATCGAAAAAATCAGTTAGTGTTTTTATCTGACGGTAACGAATATAGATTTCCTGTTGATTTTAAAACACAATCATTCACAAGTCCAGTAATGAACCATGAGTCAATTTATACAGTTTGGGTGAAAATTTATTGATGAAAACCTCTTTAATAGAACTGAGAAGTAACAACATGATCAATCTCTCTCTCTCGCTCTCGCTCTCTCTCTCTCTCTCTCTCTCTCTCTCTCGCTCTCTCTCTCTCCCCCTTTTTCTTTTGGTTTTTTTTTTCTCTCTCTCTCTCTTTCACTCTCTCTCTTTCTTTCTTTTTCTTTCTTTCTTTCTTTCTTTCTTTCTTTCTCTCTCTCTTTCTGTTTCTTTTCCTTTCTTTCTGTTTCTTTTTCTTTCTTTGTTTCTCTTTCTGTCTCTCCCTTTTCTCTGACTTGCTCATTCTTTCTTTCTCTCTCACTTTTTTTGCTCTTTCACTGTTTCTCTTTCTATCCTTTTCTCATTCCCTTCCTATCTTCCTTGCTCTTTTTTCTCTTTTCTCTCTCTCTTTCTTTCTCTTTCTGTTTCTCTTTCGTTCTGATCTGTCTCACTTTTCTCTTTTCTCTCGTTTCTCTCTTCTCTTTTTCTTTTTTCTTTCTCTCGCTCTTTTTTGCTCTTTCACTGTTTCTCTTTCTTTTCCTCTCTGTGTCTTGCTTTTTTCTCTTTCTTTCTCCCCCTCTCTCTCTCTCTCTCTCTCTCTCTCTCTCTCTCTCAGGAGTAAATTCATTACGTTTGTTAAAAAGCTGAGGGTGAGTTTGTGAAGCTTTTACCTGCTTTCAGATTTCAGTCTGAACTCTGTTCAGTGAGAGTATATAAGCTAATAGTGATGATGACTGTTCTATTGTCCAGGAGCCTTTAGTGCTGACCACCCTCATCTCTCTCTTTGTGAGACTGCACAGTATCGTCCGCGTAAGTGGAGATCATCTGTTTTTACCCCTCAGCAAGAGTTTAAACCAGTTTAGACAATGTGAGTTCTAGACTTTAAGCATTAAACACAGCGTGACTGATGAGTCTCTTCTAGGATGACATTGTGAATGAAGTGACTGCAGAACATCTGTCCATATGGCCGTCCTCCCTGGCCAAGTAAGTCACTTCTGGCTTTTTTTATACATCTTCACTGTCAGAACCAAACCTTGTATCTCTGTTTGTTTTTACTTCTAATTATGTACATTTTTTTTCTTGTCGTTTACATTTTGTGAAAATTTCAAGATGAATGGACAAACAAATGATTCAGAATTACTCAGGGGGAAATAATTCTCATCCCCAAAAAGGGTTCTGTGTACAACCATCTACAGCACATTCTCCGAAAGAACCATTTCATGATAAGGGAAATAGCTGGATTCACTCATTAAGAGTGTCTGGATACTTTTGGGAATCTGCTCTGTGTTTACAATCGGAACACTTATGTGCCAAAAGTATTATTCAGGCAGTAAATATGAGATTATTGATGTTTGTTGTTTGCTTCTAGTATTCAGGCTGTGGATGTGGAGGCTGTTGCAGTTACAGTGAAGGAGCTGGTCACCTACGCTCTGACCCTCAACCCCAACAACCAGTCCTGGCTCATCACCCAAGCCGACATTTACTTTGGCAAGTTTCAATGAACAAAATTGATCTGGACTTTCAGAAATCTTTGTCCAATCAGTTTTGACTTTGTCCAATCAGTTTTGAGCTACTTGCTTTTTTTTATTTGTAACTTCTACTAAATTTCCATACTGGAATTATACCAACAATGTGGCCAAAAAAAAATCACGATTTCCCTCTTTTGCACCCCAGATGTAGCCAGCCAAGACATATTTGGTGTGTGAAGTTGGCTTCTTTAGTTTTGAGGAGCTATAAGGCTAAGAACAAATTGAAGCGTATGACCATTTTGCAAATTAGTCCCTAAACTGTCGCATTTGCCTCAAAACCACTGTTGAAGGAATTCTACTGATTTTAACAAACGATTAGGATGTAAACAGAGCCGTTCAGAGTGGTTTGGTGTGAAACGCTCTGTTCTAGAGTCAGAATCGTTCTCAGTGGTGGTGATAGGAACCAGACGTCCACCTCTAAAAGCTCCCTCACAGAAAGATACTACATCATGACCCTGGGTTCTGATCACCACCACTGTAAAAAAAAAACTGAGTCTATAAGTTACATTTCACACTAAACCTCATTCTAAAACATATATTTATGAGCATATATTCCTATATGGTTTTGGTGGAGGGGTACATGCAGGGCGCTGTACAGCAAAATAGTTGGTGGTCTTCCCCTTTAACATATAAACAAAGCCTTTCAGAGTGATTTGATCTGAAGTGGTTCATAAACATGGACAAAAGTACTGCTGAGTTTCGCTGTGCTATGTACTTTAGTCTATATTTCTAGATAGTAGTGTATCATACATTGATAGAAACCACATGATCAAGTCTATTACAGATTACTGAAAAGGGGAATTCCACCAATTTTTCAAAATTCGGTTTTGTTTTTGCCAAACTATCGCTTTGATACTCATTTCTTTTCCCTTCTGTCCATGTTTTCTGAGCAGTAACCAACCAGTACTCTGCTGCCATGCACTACTACCTACAGGCAGGTACGGTGTGCTCAGATTACTTCACCAAGCCTGTACCGCCAGATGTCTACACCGACCAGGTGGGCCCAGCACCACCAGACATCGCTTCTGTACTTCTGCACTGTGTCAAGTTTAGAGCAACAAATTCTTTTTAGGTTTACAGCCAAGAATCTAACTTGTTTAGCCTGTTCTTTCAGTTTTTAGCTACACAGAATTACCCTAAAATACAGCTCTTCTTACCCTGTAACCTGTTCTTACAGGTTCTGAAGAGAATGATCAAATGCTGCTCTTTACTCAACTGTCATACTCAGGTAAGAAAGCACAGTGAGTTAAAGATTTAGTCTGACTTTACAGTTTTCTTCTTCTACTTATTATTATTTAAATTTAAAACTTGTTTTGTTGGTTGTCTATATAAGATTAACACATTCTCTACAGAGAACATATTTAAAAATATGGCATTTTCTGCAAATTTTAGTGCACATTTTCTGGTTATTTGATTAATATATTGGAAAAAAAAATGCATGAAATCTAAAATGTGCCATAAATTTTGTACAGCCCAGTTTTTTCCCAGTGTGTTAAAATCAGCACATAAACAGTAATTGTGCATTAAAATGTGCAGACGTGTGTCTCTGTAGTGGATGTCTTAACATGTTTTCAGGTACAAAATCAACAAAACATGGAATCTGACCGGGGCGTCCAAACTTTTGCATACAACATAACCATATTCCTTATACACTGATATATGTGAATGAGCTCTGTTGCCCTACATTGTGCTTCATTCAAAAAGCAGCCTGGGCTGAAAGTGTCCTTATAACTTCAGCGTGAATGGGCGGAGCTAAGCTGCTGTTGCCTGCTGTTTAGTTGAAATGTTTTGGTTTTGTGAGATCACAAAAAAACTGGCAGTTTTTGCAGACAGTGGCTGGAACTGTATGTTATAGAACTTGTTTATTACACCATGTAAGTTGTGGGGATTTGGAGACCTCTCTGGTGGAAATGTGTAATAGCATGTAACATTCTGTAGCGTGGGCTGTGCTGCGGACCCCTTCCCCGAGTGGATGAATCTGATGAACAATGGTTCTTCAAGGTTTTTCAGTAAAGAAAATGGTTCTGTAAAGAACCATGAACACTCAAAGAACCCTTGATTAAATGGTTCTTTGCATTGTGAAAGTGTTCTTTAAATTGATGGAGAATGTGCTGTAGATGGTTCTATATAGAGAAAAGTGTTCTTCATTATTACAAGCTTGACATTGTAACAGTAGAAGAACCCTTCTTGGTGCTATATAGAACCCCTTTTCAAAAAGGTTCTGTATAGAACCATCTACAGCACATTCGCCATCAATCTGAAGAACCCTTTCACGATGCAAAGAACCCTTTAATTAAGCATTCTTTGAGTGTTCATGGTTCCTTATAGAACCATTTTCTTTACTAAAGAACCCTTGAGGAATCATCATTTTTAAAGATTGTAGTGCTGCTTTTAGTAAAACTCTTATTTTTAAAAAGTGAAGAAACGTAGGTTTCCCATGATATCAGCCCTTTAAACGGAACCACTTGGCTTTTGCAGGTTGCTGTTCTTTGCCAGTTTCTGAGGGAAGTTGACTATATGACTGCATTCAAAGCTCTTCAGGAGCAGACCAGGTATGAAAGGACAATAAAGTTTTGTTCAGTTTTGTATGAATTGTGTTAGTTTTAGATGAATCCATGTCCTTTTGTTTTTTCTTTTTGTCTTCCAGCCATGATTCTATGGATTCGTTCTACGAGTACATCTGGGATGTGACCATTCTGGAGTATTTGACTCGTATCCTTTGAATTCCATGTGAACGTGTTTCTCTGTTAATCATAACTCAAATTTAATCTTAACTCTGTTATACAGACATCCATCACAAACGTGGGGAGATTGAGAAAAGGCAGGTCGCTGTGAGTATCAGATGAGCTCTTGTATATCAAAGCCTTTCCGTACACTATTTGTAGAACACAGTGCACTAGAAATGAAGAGGCTGTTTACACTTTGCATTAACATGCACTTTGTGTTCATATCTGGATAAACTTTGGTCGGATTCCTTTTACGCTTTTCGCTAAAGTGTGTCCACAGTGTGGCCAGATGAGGTCCGATTGTACTTTTCCACATAAAAATCACATCCGGATATGCGTTGTTCCATTTTACCTTTGTTTATCCTTTGTCCATTAAAATATTAATGGATAAGCTCAGTTCGGAGGCTTTCATCAGCGTGGGGTGTATGAAGGCTCCTGGTTCGGGTCTTCTTTCAGCCCGGCATACCCTCCATCCTCCATTTCCTTGTTTATTTCCTCATCTGCTAGTCAGCGGATGCGTTCCCGCTCATGTAATTGTATACGGATAATGAAAACAGATTGCATTTACACCTGTGTTAAATGCGGTCAAGATTCAAATTAATCAGATTGAGGTTTGAGTAATCTGATCGTAATCTGCTCACGAAGACTACATTCACATTACAATCCTCTTTGCTCAAATCTGATTTTTTGCACAAATCCGATCTCTCTGACACGCTGGTTCACACTCGTTTAAATAAGTGACTCAAATCTGTTATTAATGTGAACGAACCAGTGACCTGAAATGACCTGCATGACCACATGCTACTCAGTAACGTCACGTTAATAAACCATGTGCGTCATGCAGTAGAACAAACAGAACGAGCTTCGCTGAGAAGATAATTAACTCTGATCAGCTCTAAGCTTCATTATTAGAGCGAGACGAAGGAGAAAAAGGTGAGATGAGCTGCTTTGTCACAGTTTACAGGCTTTCACGGCTGTTCGGCGCTGCTGCCATGGTAACGCTGAATGATGGTGCACGCGCAGCGGAAAAAAAGCACATGAATTCCGATCTGAGCATTTACACTGAGATTGGATTTGAAAAGATCCAGTTTCTGTGTCCACACAGCCCTGAAAACACCAGATCACATTGGGGCAAACAGTCGGATTTGTGCCACTTCCAGCTGGTAATGTGAAGTGTCCTGGGGAGTTTAGGCTACGTTCACCTTACCAGGTTGAAGTGGGACAAATGCGATGTGATCTGGTGTTTTCAGGGCTGTGTGGACACGCAAATCTGATTTTTTTCAAACCCGATCTGAGCCACTTCCATATGTGTTCCTAGATCGGATACGTATCCGATTCATGGTCATGTGACCTTCATGTGAAGCTCAGATCGTGTGCCATCATTCAGCGTTACCATGGCAGCAGCGCCAAACAAGTTAAAGCCTGTAAACGGTGGAAAAGCAGCTCATCTCACCTTTTTCTCCTTCGTCTCGCTCTAATAATGAAGCTGAGAGCTGATCAGAGTTAATTATCTTCTCAGCGAAGCTCGTTCTGCTCGTTAGTTTGTGCTGATGATGCTCGTGATTCATTCACGTGACGTTACTGAGTAGGATGAGCTCATGAGGGTCATTTCAGGACGCCGGTTCGTCAGATTAATGACAGATTTGAGTCACTTACCTACACGAGTGTGAACCACTGTATCAGAGAGATTGGATTTGAGTAACGAGGCTTGTAATGTGAACGTATGGAGCCACCTGGCTTTTTGTGCAGTCAAGCAAAATCTGAGCATGATCCGATCACCAAAAATGCATGTTAACGCAGTGTAAACAGGCCCGAAAAGTGAACTGAAACTCCAGTGCTCCTGAAACTCCTAGTTCAGTGAGGATTTTGCCCATTTCAAATGCTGTGGAGGTGTGTAACTCATTACAGTCCGTATCTGTAACTGACATTTTCTCTGGTCTGTGTGTTCTCTGAGCTCGCTTGAACACATCTGAAGAATGTTTTTAACGCAGTTTAACTGTATATCTAAATAGTTTTTAATTGCTTTGGGCTGGTTTCCTGTCAGAGGATTAAGGCCAATCCTAGACTATATTTTCCTTTCAGTGGAATATCAGGATTCAAAAATACTGTGTAGACTCACTGTTTAGGAAACTAACCCTTAATTTATGAAGATGTTTGATTTTGCCCTCCAGAAAGTTACCTGCACCTCACCCAGTGAGAGAACACATTTATATATATATATATATATATATATATATATATATATATATATATATATATATATATATATATAAATAATAATAATAATAATAAATATATATATATATAATTAATTTCTTGTTTTTTTTAATTGTATTTTTCAAGTATTTTAGTAACACAACTTTGTTATAAAACACAATTTTTCACATTGGAAACCCAACTACCCCCTTTAATTTGTATAGTGCTTTGTCTTTTTGTCCCCCACCCCACCACCACCATTACAAAAATTATGGGCACCCCTGCTAGAACAGATATTGCTGACAGAGCACCACTGTGTCATTTTTCCTATTTTATATTGAACGTACAGCGCTGTGCAGAACTCTTAGGCTTCTGAGAAAATTATATATAGAACTTTTTATCTGGGCAGAGCAAATACAAATAAATAGTTACCATCTAATAGTTTATTTAATCATCCTTCATTAAAATAAATCAGGTTATGTAACTGAACATTGCATGTGGTGGCTGGAGAGCAGCGAGAAATCAGGAACCAAACTGGAGTTGTTCATAACTTTACTGGAAACAACAAATTCCTATTATGCTTTATTGTATTTGTTAATTTGTATTTATTCTAATATTATATAATGTTTTTACTGGCAAAAACACACTTGGGCTACGTTCACAAAGCAGGTCAAAGTGGCCCAAATCTGATTTTATTGTTTGGCTGTTCAGATTATCTTTTAAATGTGGTCTGTATGTGACTTCAGTCTGAACAGATCAGCTCTTAAACTGACCCGCATGCACTAAAGATCAGAGCGTCACGCTGCTTCACGGCTCATCCAGAGGTAAACAATCACGACCGCCAACGAGCGCCAGTCGCTCCCGGAGGATCAGCTTCATCTTCACCAGCATCACAGGAGCCATCATGAAGCTTCACTGACCGCTGGGCTCATCACCCAGAATGCGTTCGAGCCGTAAAAAGGGCGCGGTCACTTCTTTGGTTCACGTCCTCGGATTCTTTAAACTTTGCTTTCAGACTTTTAACTGTTCTTTGACGCTGCAGCCTCGTTCTCCTGCGGCCGCGTTCGGACATTTCTTTCTAAATCTCTTTGAACACGGAGGGGTTTGGATGAGTCTCTTATAATTTTGGTACAGAAACATCAGCCATGTTTATGAGACTCAGCAGCGCGAAATGATGACGAGTGTGAAGTTGGATTGACGTAAAAGTCACATGAATTCCGATCTGGCTGTTCAGACTGAGTCACATTGCCGCAGATCGGATACGTATTGGATTTCAGTACCACATATGAAAGCGTCTCAAATCAGAATAGTAAATGTCAGATTCAGTGTGTTTTTGCTGTTCACACTGACACACATCTGTGTCGCATATGAAGAAAAAGATCAGATTTGGGCCACTTTTACCTGCTGTGTGAACAAAGCCTTACAGTCCAGATAAATAGTTTGAAACACTTTCTATGACCGAGTAAGGCTTGTATGTACTGTAGTTGTTGGACATGAATGGGTTAATCTCGGGGAAACAGACATTTAACAGTCACCAAACAGAACACAAGTACCCGAATGTGCATCAGGTTCTGATACTGAGCTCTGATTTGAACAGATCAAGGCTATCGGACAGACGGAGCTGAACTCCAGTAACCCTGAGGAGGTCCTGCAGCTCGCTGCTCAGAAGAGGAAGAAGAAATTTCTTCAGGCCATGGCAAAACTTTACTTCTGAAGCAAACTCTCAGAAAACAAAATGTACATTTTTTATTTTTATTAAAACACAAAAATAAATACCATCAGTAACTTTTTTAGTCATTTTTCTGCACATTTCTTTTACAAATATTTACACTAGACTTAAAAAAAAGAGATCTATGATCATATTATATCCACATTCACACTCATTTTAAAAAGCTACAATCAGGAATTGCTGAAGGAGCACCATGACTGGCTCTCAGCCTGCTTTGTAAAAAAAGTGGAGAATCAACTTCCCTGGTATTTCAGCAATTTCTAACTCGGGCTTTGGGGTAATAATCATAAATACTTAATTTCTAATGCCTTTAGCAAAGTGAAATAGGCAGATTCTGTACAAAGCTTTATCAAATACTGTACATACTTCACAGAAACGACAAATCAAGTTTACAGGAGTTCAGATAGCAAAATTGGAAATTATTCATGGAATAGTTTAAGACATGGTAATTTTGGTCCTTTTTCAAAAATATTACAATTTTTTTCCTCTTAAATAGAGTATTGCACATTTTGAATGGCTGTAAAGGACTCAAACAGTGTGGTGTAAGCAGTATTTACATACACTAAAATTCAGGATATCAGATCACCAAGTGATTTAAATTCAAATCTGATTTTGGAAGTAATGCTTTGTCTCCCAAGTTGACCACATATTGAACAAAGTAATTAAAAACAAGCATTTCTGCACTCTATCTGGGCAAGAAAGTAAAAAAACAAACAAACAAACAAACAGAGAAACAAACACCCTGAGGATATGCTTTGTCCATATCTTCGGCAGATCAGTGCAGTTACTGACTATGTTTCAAGAGGATAAACTACAGTTCAGTTCATTGATTTTCTGTTTACAGGCATCTTTTTTTCTGTCCTACAAAAACTTAATATGTTCATCTCCCAAACTCACTGTAATTAAGTCTGTTTCCACCTGTTGTGATAGCTTTAAGCCCTGGTTTTGGCCAGGTGCTGGCTCTGGTCCCTCAGTGTGAGCTGGATTTCTCTGCACTGCTGGGTGGTGTTGGAGGGAAGATCCCACTGATGCGAATAGTGCATTTTTGCTGAGCTTCGTGCTGTAAACAGAAAGACAAACAAAAGGTAAAATAAGCACAACTGGTTCTGCAACAGCACCACATACAGCAAGAAGAGCAGCGGCCGGATTCACAAAACTTAAGAGAGAAAACGACACACTAAAGGAATGAAGTTAAGTATTATTCTTAAAAAAAAAAAGATTTTTCTTAACTTTTCTAAGAATAATTATAAGTGGTAGTCCTGAAAAAGGTGCTCAGAAATGATAATCTTATTAATTATGTAAAATCTTATAATCTCTATTTTCTTAACGTCACAACAGTCTCAGGGTGCCTACACACTAGTAGCTGACGCAGTGTCAGAAACGCAGCCCCCCAGTGTATTTCAGTTAGGACGCTGCGTCAGTCCGTCAGACTAGAAACGTGACTGCGTGCAGTGAAAAGACGCATCGTAGAGCGTCAATAAAGTTCAAACCGTTTCAACTTTTGCTGCAACGGATTCTGACATGGAGGCACGTCAACCAATAGAAACGTGCAGGCAGTTCTATATGAATTCTTTGCCTTCGTTGTTGTCTGCGGCCATTGCCAACATTTTCTTTTGATGGTCCATATTTCTTTATATCTGGTCCAAATGTTTTGGTTCCTGCTGGATTTCAAACTGTTCAAACTCCACCAGCTGTGTACACGACTTCTAGACCCCATGTGTCAAACACGAGGCCCGCGGGCCAGATCAGGCCCGCCACACGGTCCTATCCAGCCCGCAAAATTATTTTAATTTTCTATTAATATTAGCCCATTTCACCATTAGCTGCACTACAGTTCCCAGCATGCACTGCACTATCGCATCTCGTTTTTATTGCAGTTTTTTATGTTTTACCTTCCTTTTGGCGCTGATATGATTAAACTGAAAAAAATGATTAATGGAAATATGGCATAATTACTGATAATCTGTAAAACGTAAGATATTAATGGTTTATATGACAAATAACCTACAGCATGCATAGAAAACACAATTTAGATTTTCTCAAAAAATAAAGAAAATAAATAAAGAAAATAAGACTTTTTAAGAGAATTTGTGAGAGTTTTTTTGCATTTAGGAACATTTTATAAAGTTTGTCTTCAGATTTTTTGTCATGTTTTTTTCTTTGGAAAGCTTTTGTGAATCCAGCCTCAGATTCTACAGAAGGTAACATCAGACTCTGGTCTTTGGATTAGAACTACAGGTTTAAAGGAACAGTTTACTGAAAAAATCTAATGGACAGAACCTTACAGCTTTTGGTGAGGTATGAGGTATAACTTTTCCAACACATTCTTTATATGGAAAAACTTAAATATGTGATTTTTCTGGTAATCTTAGTGCACAATTAACATTTTTAAGAATTTTAAAATGTAACATTTTGGAAAAACATAAAATATGAAATATAGATGTGCTGACACTTCGACAGGCCACACTGTTTTTTTCCCCTCCCTTCTAATATGATAAATAGAGCAAATAAACATTAACTGTGAATAATAATGTTTTTTCTATGATGATTTGTACTTATTTTCATTTCAACAAAACACGTCATTTGACCAGAGGTGCCCAAACCTTTAGTGTAAAACTAAAGAAGCAAATATCAAACATGTCACTGTAAATTGGATTTTTCTTCAAACCACTGCTTTCATTTTTATTTCAGTTCAGCCTCACTAATACATTTGAACCAGCTGGAATATAATCTCACCCTAGAGAAAATACCCGGTACCTAAACGAAAGTTCTTAGTTATAACGATGCTCAGTACTATTTTTCATTAAATTAAACTCACCAGCATGGCGAGGTAGTCGGCGTGGGTCTGAATGTTGTGTCTGTCCTCAGAGGAAACTTTACTGAAGTCTTTAAGCTTCGCGCTCTCATAACCCGTCATGGTCTCTATGAAGGGAGCCATCCAGTTCACACAGCTCTCCACCGCCTCCCACGTCAAACCTGCCGCGGGACAAAAGGGCGTCAGGTCTCTGACTGCTAGACCACTGAGAGATTTCCATGAAAGATGGTAAATGAGGCGATACAGTTTTTAAAATTTCCGTAGTTTTAGACATTTATTGTTTTCTGTTCATTGTTGTTTTTCATTTCCAAAAAGTTGCACCCTTAAAAAAGGGAAATTCGACTTGTGCATACATTAATAAGTTCTGGGGTCGGATCTGCTCCGAAATTAAGCTTTTTTCACATGTATCTGTGCCTTTTTGACCCTTAGTCCTAGTTCTAGGAGCATCATTTAATGGAGCCTCTGCTGATCAAGATTTACTGATTATCCCCGCTGTTGCAAGAAAACGCATCTTGGTCAACTGGACTTCGTCTACACAACCTAGCATAACTCAGTGGTGTAAAACAATATGTAATATCCTCCCCCTTGAAAGATCAGCTTATTTAGATAATAAAAAGATGAAGTTTTATCAAGTTTGGGGCGAGTTCTTGGATTTCACTAAACCAGCTATTAGGGATGTGCTGCAGTGTTGGAATGGAGTAGGTTTTGGTGAACCGGACTGTGTTTTTGTACCTTTGTGTCACCTTTGATATTAAGCTACGTTCACATTACAGGCCTCATTGCTCCAATCCGAGCAATGAGGCCTGTAAGTGGGCAAGGTAAGTGACTCAAATCTGTCATTAATGTGATGAACCGGCGTCCTGAAATGACCCTCATGAGCTCATCCTACTCAGTAACGTCACGTGAATGAATCACGTTCATCATCAGCACAAACTAACGAGCAGAACGAGCTTCGCTGAGAAGACCATTAACTCTGATCAGCTCTCAGCTTCATTATTAGAGCGAGACGAAGGAGAAAAAGGTGAGATGAGCTGCTTTTCCACCGTTTACAGGCTTTAACTTGTTCGGCGCTGCTGCCATGGTAACGCTGAATGATGGCGCACGTGCAGTGGAAAAAAAAAGCACATGGATTCAGATCTGTGCGGCACATTAAGGTCACATGGCCACTAATCGGATACGTATCCGATCTAGGACCACATATGAAAGTGACTCATATGTGGGATATGTCGGATTTGAAAAGATCAGATTTGTGTCCACACAGCCCTGAAAACATCAGATCTGAGTCACATTAGGGCAAAAAATCAGATTTGTGCCACCTCAGTCTAGTAATGTGAACGTAGCCTTAATGTTGATAATACTGATTGCAGTACCACTGATATTTCTTATTTACTGTATTTATATTGTTGCCTTCTTTCTTTTTTTAATTCTCAGTATGTCATTGTACTGCATTATACATAATATCGCACTCTGTATCTTATCTGTTTGCTATAATAGACAAGACTGGGGGGGTGAAATTCCACAGATTTAAAAAAATCTGCATAATTCAATAACTGAGAATGAGGTTTGGTGTGAAAGTTAATTATAGAGAAACTCAGATTTATTTACAGTGGTGGTGATGGGAACCAGGGGCCACAGTTTCTTCACCTTGAGAACTGGCACCTGTCTGAGTTTCTATATATAATGTTGATAATGGTAAAATAGTGTTATATATTTAGCTAAGCTTTAGAGCTTTTCAAAACTGTTGTAAAACAAGATCTCGGACATCAGGCAGTGAATTCATAACCATTTTTCGTGTAACAACTTTCTGTGAGGGAGCTTTTAGAGGTGGACGTCTGGTTCCTATCACCACCACTGTGAACAGTTCTGACTCAGTAAGTTTCTCTAGATCAGAGTGTTTCACACCAAACCATCTGCAGAGACATATGAAGATACTTTTAGATTAAACCAAAGGAAAAGTGGACGTTAAGCACCAAGTTGTTCTTACCTGATACCTTTTGTACTACATCAAATGATATGAAGTGGCAAAAAGCTGCTGCAGCCAGCACTCCATATTTAAAATCCAGTGAGTTGATATCGAGGATGCACAAATCTAAAAGCTGAGAGAAAAGCAGAGTTTTCTGTAAGCGCAGAAACGGTGGGCATTTCTTTATGGTTCTGCTGTTCAAAGAGAAAAGTCTTTAAACAAAACATCACATCTCAGGTGTCAGAAAACTAGGGAATATTGTTTTTTAATTATAATAAATAACTACTTTCATTTTTTCAAAGTGAAGAGTTTACATACCTGTGTGATCTGTATGTAGGTTTCTTGAGAAAACTGTGGCACCAGTAGATTAGTGAAGTCATAGACTGAGGCCATCTGAATATAAAGCTTCATCCACGAGACGACGGTTTCAGGACAGAGGTCCCAATTTAATGCCTGTGTAAGTAAACGTGTTATTGGTGAATAAACAAGACGGCATATTTGGCATGTATGTGTCACCATAACCGCAGTCACAGTGTAGTACTCCATTCATTTCCAAGCACAAGTGAGAATGAGATCCATCATATTGTGACATACATACTTTTAACATAATAAGCTCCATTTGTAGGATCTCTTCTTCTAGACATGCTCCATCGGTGACATAGGCCAACTCCGCGATTTTAGGTGGATAAATTTCCTGAAAGGGGAAAAAAGCCGAACATTGAGACTCCATCCTGCTTATTAATCATATCTGCTTATTAATGATCATCATTTTTACTTTGCTGCATATCTACGTATCATATCTGTTTACAATTATTTGGAGACTGGTGTTTATAATTATTTCTACTGTTATTTTTCTCAATTTTATTAGTATTTATAATCAAGTTACTTACATTTCTTTAATTATGTTTATTCATTACTATACCTTTACTTGCAATACTATTCTTTTGCTGCTGTAATGTGTGAATTTCCCTCTGGGATTAATAAAGTGATCTGTCTTTCTATCTATGTGCTTTAAAGGATATTTAGTAGAGCTCTAAAACAGTTTGCTTGGCCAATGAATAGTTACCTCAATTTTAGAGGCGATAAAAAGTGCTGTAATGCCAATGAGCTGCAGCCGCTCCTTTTGCATGTCTTCTTGGGTGAGCATGAACCTGTCAAAGAAGTCCTGTGCCAGATAGAACGTCTGTCTGTGAAGGACGTAGGCCTCACATACCTGGACAGAGAAATTCAATAAGTTTACCATAACAGTGTCCTAACTTTGGTCAAAGATGTACACAAGGTCATTTACAGTAGTTTGACGCTGGTTGAGTGATTGTTCACAGTGGTGGTGATGGGAACCAGACGTCTGAAGTGTTTACGCCGCTAAAAGCTCCCTCACAGAAAGTTGTTACATAAAATGTTTGACATTTTTTGTTTGAAAACATTCAAAATACATTAATTGCAGAGAAGGTAAATGCAGGGTGTTGTGAGGCAAAATAGCCTCAAAAGAAACTGACTAAATAAAATGTCTATATTAGTGTTGTAGACATGGTGACCCCTGGTTCCTATCGCCACCACTGTACGGAAATCTTTACATTAAGTTTCTCTAAAATTAACCATTTCTCATGTTTACATCTCAACTACTGAATTATGCAGAAATTTTGAAAAATCAGGGGGATTCTCCTTTAATAGATTATACATAAGGCTAGGAGTGCACAATGTATCAGCAGGCAACTATTTTAAATTATAAATTTATATATATAAATATATAATAAATATATATTTATAAATTATAAATTATAAATATTATAAACTGGTCCATTATTGAAATTACAACTGATACTGATTTAGCTATGGCTATGTAAAATTAATCAAAGATGCATCTATAGAATGGTAATGTAGGTGTAATAAGCACGGTAATGTAGTAATAAATGCTTAACTGTTCCATGTCTGACCACCTGTGGCTATGTAAAATCAATCACAGATCCATCTTTAGGATTTTAACCCCTTAAATTCCCAAGCTCATTACATCCAGGGCTTATTATCCCCTAATTAAAAGGAAAAAAGTGCACACTGGTTGAGCCATTCTTAAGTTATAACAGTTAAAGTCTGGATATTCTAGCAGGTCTTGGCCATTTACACCCTTTATATATGGGTTATAGTGTTAATAACGTATCAAAGAAGTAAAATTTAGTTGTTTGAACCCATTGGTGTTACTATTTATCGTTAACAGCCTAAAAATTCAATATGAGTGCAACCTTAAATTATGTCCATCTGAACGCAGATTAAGATATGAACGTAGTCTGAAATCTGATAATTAAGGAATATGTACCTCCATCAGCCAGTCGAGTAGAACTGCTCTCATCTTGGGCTGAAGTCTAGGATGCCTCTCCAGACTGCTTTTAGTGTGCTTGTACTTTATCTCTTTACTCAGCATTTTCACCCACACGTCCTCCGAGCAACCCCAGCTGATGGAGCAAAATCAGAAATAAAAACTGTGAGTATTCAAAGCAAGGCAGACTAGTTTTACAGTCAGAGGAAACACCTGGAAGGTAAGATCACTGATAACAAGTCCTGGACATATTATGGAAATCCTGGAAAAGTGTAAAGTTGGGCTGTTAAGCCACAGAGACTGCATATTTTAGCATATTTTAACTGCTAATACCAAAGTTTTGTCCACTCATACCTGCTGGAATGTCTGGAGTAATGTTACAGTGGTGCATGTACACATATGTGAACGCCTGGTAGAGCGAGGCTCCATTAACACACCACTGCAGTGTGCAACGTTCACGTCTAATGTTTCTGTAGAACTGCTGATCAAATGATGAGCGACTGAGGAAAGGACTGTGCAACTAAGAGTTACTGGGAGGAGTTTTTGTTGTACTAGGAGGAGTTTTGGTTATACTGGGACGATTTTTGTGGTACTGGTAGGAGTTTTGGTTGTACTGGGAAGAGTTTCGGCTGTCGAAAGTGGCTCAAATGTGTCTCAGACCTCCTGAAGTGATTTGAGCGAATGGATTTGTATCTGTTTTAAATGCATCTTGGGTGCGTTTACACATTTTTATGTGGTTTTGCCTCCAGATATAATCCTGATACTCAAAATCCATAAAGTGACCAGGTGTAAACACGGTCTGACAGGCCCAACACGAATGACTTGCTTGACCTATGGTGACAGAATTGCTTACAGCAGGGGTTTCAAACTCCACTAAAAGGGCCATTTTAAAAAATCTCAACAAATCAGAGGACCAGAGAACACCTAATGCTTTTATTAAATTTTTAAATAACATTTTGCTATAATCTGATCTGGCCAGTGAAGCGTCAACAGTGAAATATAGAAACTTGTAGTAGACTAGAAATTACATGAGTAAAATTACGATACTTTCTACAGAGTATTAAAATACTTGAAATATATATATAAATATGTATATATATATATATATATACATACATAAAAAAAGACGTCCCGCAAGGTAGGTCTTTAGATCTACCGATATGCTTGAACTGAACACCTGGCATCTTTTCTTTGGCCCCATAGATTGTTGTAGGGGTACGGAGGTGGAAGTGAACGTTGGGAATTGTAGTAGAGGACATTGTGAAACTTTAATATAAAGTTAAAAATATTTTCGCAGGCCAGAAAGGATTGTGTCACAGGCCTGATCGGTGTTTGACATATGGGGTGTTCAGCATAACACAATGCTGTCCGAAGCTCGCAGGCCTGGTAATGTAGGTATAATAAATGCTTAACTATTCCATGTCAGACCACCTTTACACCCAACCACTGCAAGCCAGTCCTGTTTTTCACAGATCATTAATGACCTCATCTGATCTGCTGGAATAACTGACCTGAGTCGAGGCAGAGGAGATGGCCGAGCGCCTTGTGACAAGCCCGGCTGCTCAAATGTGTCCTGTAGCCCCTCCATCGGGGTTTCAATGAGGACTTCAGCCTTACATGTTCCCTCCTGCACCCGCAGATTCTAAAAGGGTGGAGATATTATTATGTTGAGCAACAGCAGAAGCAAAACTGTGAATTCAGCTAATCATACAAAACAGATGACTAATACGGTTCTTAGAGCCCATTGTTTTTTTCCCCTGGTCTATTTATGACGTAGTTTTATGTTATTCATCGTCACAGAACTATTTTCCAACCTCTCTTTGTCCCATAGAAGTAAACACGCTGCTCTGTCACTGTGTGTGAGACTAATATATTTTTGCCATCAAGCAAAAAACCTTGTAATCTCCATTTTTGTAACCCTTTTTCACTGTGTTAAAATTTCATCATTTCATGTCAACAGCAATGATCCAGAATTACTTGGGACACAATATACATTAAATTCTGTTACACATGAACGTTTTTCCTTCTCCTGTGAAGGAGATTATGGAGGTACAAGTGACGAGATGTAACTGAAGTCAGCTGGAATTGGCTGCCCATTCAAAAAGAAGTCTGGGCTGAAACGCTCCATGTAACGTGAACTGTAAGCTGCTGAAGGCTGAACAAGCAGACATGTGAACGAGCTGCTTTTCATGACATCACAAAAACAATGACTGAATAACAGGCTGTTTTTGTAGTTCATCTTACAGATGTAGCCTGTATGGACTGGAGAGCGAGCAGCATGTTTTAAAACTATAACAAATAGGGCAATATGACAATATATATTTTTCTTGTAAGCAACGCCTCTGACAGCTGTAGGAGACGCTCAAGCCATTTGAACGTTTTTACTTCTTACTTTGCCACAAACAGAAAATGGACACTTTTAAGATCACATTTGACCGACAGCTGATTTGGTCAGACTCTGAAGATGAGACGACACTAAATTCCCAAACTGTCATCACCACTGAGCAGCTTTTCAGTCGGCAGCTGAGACAGAAGAACAGCTAAACAACCTGGAATCAGCCAGAAATGAACCCAACACCATTCGCCAAACTAAATGGGCTGTAAGATGCTTTACAGACCGGCTGGAACAAAACAACATTAATACTGATCTGGCAAAAACTGACAAAACTGAGCTGAAATTGATATTGCGGCAGTTTTATGGCTCAGTCTGATTTGGTCAGACTCTGAAGGTCAGACTACACGTTTGGCGAATGGTATTGGGTTCATTTCTGGCTGATTCCAGGTTGTTTAGCTGTTCTTCCGTCACAGCTGCCGACTGAAAAGCTGCTCAGTGGTGATGACAGTTTGGGAATTTAGTGTAAGCAGCTGGAGAACGAACTGCCGGCTGTGCAGCGAGTGGGCGGAGCTCGTTACTCTGACGCAGCAACAAGCTGCTTGTTAAGGAACTATAATTTGGTGAAGGACCTGCGAACATTATTAAATCCCATGTTCACGACCCAGTTTATTAATTTCCTACTTTATTCATTTAACTGTTGTATAAAAGCCTTCGGCTCGTGCCAGCGACCAAAATCACAGCCGTGATGTTATTTCGCAATAACACACTCCCTCTCGTGTGGAATTGCTTAATATAATATGCCTTTCTGAACATATTGTGCATATCATCAGTACCTGTAGAACACTGGCCAACTGCCTGTTTTGTTATAAAGAGAGCGAAATCAGTCAAATCTTGAACAAAAATTACTGCATTCAGTTTTTTGATAGTATATAGAAAAATGGTTCTTTGTTCCAACCGATCAGTTGTGTTATTATATTGTGACGTTGTGTAACAAATGTTTAAATACTGCATAAAATGCTTAAGAGGGAAATTTAGTGTTCCATGATTTGGGCCCTTCAATAAAGACGGCAGGGTTAAAACCTTACCTGAGTTTCTCCACTGAGCCTCTTCAGCGTCTTCTTCCTGTTGCACTGCTGTAAACATGACAGGGGCGAGTTAAGGCCTGCGCAGCCCAAATACAGTGCAGAAAAGGGTCTCTTAAACAAGATCAGCGAAGTGTACAAACCTCCTTCTTTATCTTTGCTATCTTATCTGCATGTCTGCTTCCATTCTCGTGTTTAGCTTGAAGCCGGCCACTGCAAACAGAGCCAGAGTGAGAGAAGTTAAGCTAACTCGGAAAAAAAAACAGCAGACACAAAATGTACCAGGGCCTTTTCTCACCTTCTTCTGGTCATTGTGCTGTTTGTGGAGTTTTAATGTAACGGGAGAAGTCCTGGAAGAGGAAAACAGGGATTAGTTATTGGAGATATTGGTGTAATTATTCCAGTTAACGCTGATTCAGCTGTGTGGAAAGAAGTTAGCTAGGTTAGCAGATGAAAACAATAGCGAGCAGCCCACTTAGGTCAGCTACTGTAACCTACATAATCGTGCTTTTTCGCCATTTCGACGCGAATAAAGTGGTTTTATATGTGGTTTTGCATCATATAAGAGTCCTGACTGTGTTTTGCTCAAGGGTAGAAGGGATTAAGTGGAGTGTTGAGGGGGTTTATCTGCAATTTCGGAAGCACGTAACGCGCCAAAATGAACCCGGGCGATTTGCAAATAAGCGGGTGTTTTCAAAAAAAGTACCTGGTTTTCTTTCACAGCACAGGACATTTTGGATCACATTCGCAGCAAAACTGCTCGAGAAATGCAAAAACTGTGCCAAAACATCCGTAAAAATACATTAAAAACACATTTCTCTTCATGATCTTATCTTGTTTTTTTTTTTAAGTCCACTCCTACTGTCCCTCCAAATCTTTAGCCAGCTAACGTTGAGTTGACTAAGTTAGCTAATGCAGTTCACGACTGACCCCAAATCGCTCGTTATTTAGTAAAAAAGTTACTTATCATGCTGTAAAACTAACCCAGCAGGAAATATAACTATTAAAATAACCAGTTAAACACATCTGCGCGCAAAACTAACTTGCAGCTCCAGACAGACTCGGCTAGCGTTAGCTAGCTGCGATAGCCAGCCAGCTAACAGCACAAAATGAAAATAAAATACTCCCCAAAAGCGGTTTAAAGTTGCAGCTAATGCTCATTACAGTCACAGAAGGGCTACTGTATTTTAATAAAGGCAAAATGCTAATAAAACTCCAACAGGCTGCAGTGGAGAGGCTCCTCTAGCTTACCTCTTTGGCGGAGTGCAGAAGTGACTGACTGGCGCCGGCGCCAAGTTCTTTATACCGGGAGGAGCTTTCGACCGGCCGCGTCCCAAATGGCTCCATACTCCCTACGTAGTGCACTAAAATAAAAAAGCTCCTGCACAAAAAAGGCGCACAGATGCTTAACAAAGCGCAAGCTGGGATTGAGCTACGTGTGAATATTTTCGCATTGGACTTTTTATACACATTTTGGGTGTAAAACCCAAATTTCATAACTCACGTAGTGCACTACGTAGGGAGTAAGGAGCCATTTGAGGTTCGGACGCCGCGCATATTCGTCCCGCTTTTTACATATCTACTCTATCACATGCTGTTTTTTAAACGTTTTTCTGCGTAAAGCATAATAAGCGCCCATTTAATTGACACGTCTTTAGCTAAATTATACCATGACTTGCAGATCAAATTTAGATCTGATTTTCGCTGTAATCGTTTAGTCCGAGCGAAAATGTTTATTTTTCCTCTTTGTTTTATTTTCCGCTACACTTAAAAGTGCAAAGCAATCGCATATCTGACCATTTCCGCCTCTAATATTTGTCGGTTGTGTTCAGTTAAACCTGTCGCTGTTATTTTCAAGCCCCTCGCTCTGTCATCGCGGCTTTCCTCAGAGGGAGGAGCTCCGGACTCTATTGACCAATCACAGATCAGGGTTGCCGGGGCCACGTGCGTTTCGCTCAGAATGTAAACAAATGAGCCAGAAGAGAACACGTGGGCATTTAACACAGCAGGATGAAGAGACTATATAGACTATATAGACTATAGTTCTATTATTAATAGTATTATAATTATTATTTTATTATTTAGACGGACAGCTTAAGCTAAAAGTGTGGATAGTTCAGTAGGAATGTACTTGACCTCCTTTCCTGTTGGAAACGCTTGACTTTAGCCGTAAATCAACTAAGATGATCGTCCTCTTCACCCAGAATAAAGAAGAATATGAGCTTAGTCCTTATGGCTGTTTTGTTTATTTTATTGTTACGTTAATTGCCTTAACACGCATGCTCTAAATAGTCCATAAAACCTGCTTCAGCGAGAATGAAAAGTGGAACAGAATCAAAAAGAGCCATTTTTGTTGTTGAATCTTTATCTTTCTGCGCCCAAAAACCAAACTAAGCAGTATGTACAGAACGTTATACACCACCATGCTTCAGTACAGTATGTACAGTATAGTTTTGTGGCTGTGGACGCAGCCTAGGACATTATAATGAGCTGAACGGTTCTACTGCGCATGCCCATATCATCAGTATCACTATATGCTATAGTATAGTGGCTTTGTCCCTTGCATTTCATTGCATATTTAATGACAGTTCAGCCTCAGTCCAAGTGTATTTTACAGGCTCAGGTTAATAATAACACCCTCTGATAAGATAATCTGGGCTATTAAAATACATTACCTTTAATTTTAACGCTGGTAGCCTGTTCTGGGAGGTCATACAGGGCATTAAAATATCCTATCTATAGTTTTATGTAGGGAGCTACATATAGAAATGTGCTACAGCAGGACATTTTGGCCAGGCAGGACAACATTGGCGAAACAGGACGTAAAACCAAAGAAGCACTAAACATGTCTTGGCTGGTAGTCCATACTTGTGGAAGGGGGTAAAATGAGCAGATCTGATTGTTAGACAAGCTCTCACATTAGCGTTACAGCAAGATTGTCCTGGCCAATCCTCAGTTTTTGATTCTGCAGTTGAGGCCTACAGATAAAATAAGAGATATTCATGAGACACTGAACCAACATCGACTGTACACTCTTAAAAAGATGGTTCTTTAGTAAAGAAAATGGTTCTTTATGGAACCGTGAACACTCAAAGAAGCATTTGCATGATTAAAGCGATCTTCAGATTGATGGAGAAAGTGCTGGTATGGTAATGTTAGGGTTCATACTACTACAACAACAACTACTACTACCACTACATCAACAACAACTACTCCTACTGCTACAACAACAACAACAACTACTACTACTACTACAACTAATAAAATGAGAGCTAAATAAAAAGAATACAGTGGTTTTTAAGTAAAGGCTTGAGAAACTGAGAATATTTACTTTGTCTCGTGTTACGTATGGTTCAAGTGCACGGAACCGAAAATAAATGCAGATGTGCTTTGGAACCTCAGCTTCCTTCGGTTTGACTAACTGCAGTAAAACAACCACACCAAAGTGTGTATCACACTACAGCAGTTGGCTCTAGCCCTGGAACTTCTTTTTAAATTAAAATGCATATAACGTTACAAAAAAGGATGTTCATATTAAAGATAAACTACAGATATATGTATTTAAACTACTTCAACTAAACACAAAGAAAAGGATAAAATAGAGAAAAATGAAAAACTATAATGACACTTAATGTACAGTTTATTTCCTGGTGCACTGTGCAATAATACTGTCACTGAGAACAATGTGCAATATTTAATATAATATGAATGTATGTGTATATATATATATATATATATATATATATATACACATTCTCTCTATTGTATGTTTTATATCTGTCTATGCTGTCTAGTATGTCTATGTGCAGTTGCCTTTTATGTTATATTTATGTATATTTTTGCGCATCGGAGTTGGAGAAGCGCAGTCTCGTCCAGCTGTACACGGCTTGTTGTAAAAACTTTGACTTTGGCTTTAATTACTAAGACATATTAAAGATTCAATCATTAAATTCGACTGAGAAAACACTGAGGCGTAACTCACTTTTACCATATCTTGTCTTGTGTTAGTGTTTCCAAAAAGGATCATCACAATTAAAATAACATTTACAGAAGAGACACACAATTAAAACCCATAATCACATTTTTAGATTTTATATCTACTGTATCCAAATTTGTCTGAAAAATATTTCCAAAATTCTTTAGAATAGTAACATTAAACAAATATATGTTTGATTTTTTCTGGATCTTTTGTGCAGAATGAACAATTCTGTTCTACATCTGTAAATTTAGAAAGATTATAATTACGCAGGTTAATACTATACAAGATTTGTACTTCTCTGACTTTTTTACAAATGCAAATGCATATACAAATGTATATGATTCTATATTGATTAGGCATGGTTCTAGATATGGTTCTGTGTAGAACCCTTTTTGAAAAGGGTTCTATATAGCACCAAAAAGGGTTCTGCTATTGTTACAAGCTTGACATCATAACAGTAGAAGAATCCTTTGTGGTATATTTTCGGTATATCCTTTTTTGCTCTTAAAAAAAGGTTCTATATAGAACCATCTCCACTCATTCTCCATCAGTCTGAAGAACGCTTTTGAGTTGCAAAGAATCCTTTAATTATGCAAAGGGTTCTTTGAGTGTTCCATTTTCTTTACTAAAGAACCCTTGAAGAACCGTTTTTAAGAGTGTAGTTTTAGTTTCTATTTATTTATTTATTTGTTTTTTTGTTTGTTTGTTGGTGAACCCTAACATTACCATAATTTCTTTTCACTTTTTAGAAATAGAGGAGTTATAATTTATTATTGATTTATTATTAGTATGTAAACAGTGTTGAAATGTCATTTACTTTCCAGTCTATATAGTCATGTATGGATTAAACTGGAAGTCCATCTGTTTTTATAGTTAAGCGACTCTCATTAGTCCCACAACGGGGACATTTCACCTCTGCACTTAACCCATCCGTGCAGTGAAACCAGTGGTGGACAGTAGCTAAGTAAATGTAATTCATTACTGTTCTTAAGTAGTTTTTTGTGTATCGGTACTTTACTGAAGTTTTTCCATTTTGGGCGACTTTTTACTTTCACTCCACTACATTTCAAAGTCAAATATCTCACTTTTTACTCCACTACATTATGAGAAATCTGTCGTTCCTTTTGGTTTATGTGTGTATAAAAACATAACGTCAAAACGAAAGAAGCACAAAGCAAGAACACCAATCAGGGCACAGCGCACACTTAGTTAGAGCTTGTTTTGACCTGTTGGACATACCGACCCAGTGCAGCACACGGTTCTACATCAGTGCAGCAGTGTAAACTTTTGGGAGAGTCTGTTCAACATAAATGATGAACTAACCTAACTTTGTGTGAACAGACCACAATATAGAGATATGTACACATATGCAGTTGTGACTGACATCTGAATTTATACAAACACTTTCATTTTATAGTAAATTTGTTTTGCTAGTTTATGTTTATGAACAGAGACCTACAGATGCAGTTTAGTAAAGGAAACTCATTTGTGAATCTGAGTTTAAAGTTTTTATTAAACTTAAACTCGTAACTAAGTTCAAATAAATCTTAAACTGAAACTTTGCTTGTTTGTAAAAAGTGATTTCAGAGCCACTCAGTTCTATCTGATGGAAACTGTTTGCCTTCAGTGTTTTGTGCTTATGATAATTTTAATAGACATCAGCGTCACTAATTAATGACATTCTAATAAAAGACTGGTTTACCAAGAGAGACACTGGAGTATTTTCACCTAAACTGAGTTAATGAAGCGAGTCTTGTTACAAAAATGATAACAGGACAGCAGAGCCATAATTAATCATTTAGTACTTTCACTTTCGATACTTAAGTACATTTGAAGGCAAATACTTTTGTACTTTTACTCAAGTGGAGGTCTAAAGTGAGGAACTTCTACTGGAGTAATATTTTACCTTGGGTATCTCTACTTTAACTCAAGTACATGATTTGTGTACTTCGTCCACCACTGAGTGAAACACCACATATGCACTAGTGAACACACACACTAGGGGCAGTGAGCACACTTGTCCAGAGTGGTGGGCAGCCCTATCCATGGCGCCCGGGGAGCAGTTGGGGGTTAGGAGTCCTGTCAGCTCAGGGGATCGAACCAGCGACCTTCCGGTCACCAGGCTGGTTCCTTAACCTCCAGCCCTTGTTTTTGTGATATCACGATTACATATATCTGCCTATTTTAGCCTACAATGGTTTAGCTCCACCCATACATGCTGTGTTTCAGCACAGACTGCTTATTGAACGAGCAACTAATCAGAACAGAGCTTATTTACATATTTCACTCTAACAGTAACAAGAACAGCCTGATTAACTGTAACAGATGTAAAAATGTTGGAAACAGA